CACACACACACACACACACACACACACACACACACACACACACACACACACAAAGCCAGTCAAAGCACCCGCCACGTCCCAAGTTTCAAAAGGGGACGCGATTTGTCTCTGTGTTTTTGTTTTATTTTCTCTCTCTCTCTCTCTCTCTCTCTCTCTCTCTCTCTCTCTCTCTCTCTCTCTCTCTCAGTAAGTTTGATGAGGATGATGATGGCAGGGTGTCGTCACTGGGTGGCCACTGGAAGGGGCATGGCTTCTGGGGCGGGCAGGCGGTGGGTGAGTGTGAAGGAAGGGGACGGCGGGGGTGCGCGATCTTGGAGCCTTGCTCGATTTCAAGGCCCAGAAGTTGATATGATGCTGCCGATCGTGAGATCTCACAACGGGTTCGGGCCGTAGGAAAACGCACCAGTGCCATGAAGCTGGGCGGCTGCACGGTTTGGGCCGTGGCTTTGCTGGCCCTCTCCGTCAACGGAGATGCTGGCCCACTGTTGGGCTTGAACAAGTGTGATGCTTCAAATCCCAATCAGATCTTTGCACGCGGCACGGCCGACGAAATCATCCTCAACGTACGACTCTTGCAGCCACTGGCTGGGCAAGCCAGCTCATCCCTTGCTGTGCCGCTTCATAGCCTTGATGGTGGCCCCACGCCGCGTGCATCGAAGCAGCCCCTGATCGTGGTGCATGGCTGGATCCCTTAGAGTACTGGCGCCTGCGTTGATGTACCCAGCTATGCCACTGCCCGTAAGCACTCAAGTGGCTGCGCCTTGCCAAGCGACCCGGACCTTGATCCCGTCCCTCACATGTCATCCTCCCCTCCAATCACAGCTGGATCAGCACTGTATACCTTCAGCCCGTGCCACCCCGGTGACAAGGACCCGGCGCATCAGGTGCAGCGTTTCTTGGGCTCTCTGGCCTGGCTTTCTCCTTCTTCTTTTTAGATACGCATCTTACTGCCATGTCCACTGGCCCATTTCTGGCCCTGTGTTGGCACGACCAATTTGGATTTTTGCACAAACAGAACGAAGCATGGCTTGTCAACAGCAACAAAACCATCACAGAGCGCTCCACAGGCCTCTGCATTGCCCCGGCTTTTGATGGTACGAGCGCTCGCGTGACTGTTTTAGTTTGTCTTGTTTTTTTTTTTTTTTTTTATCCTCTCTCGATTCTCTTGATGTCAAGGGAAATGTTTACTTTTACATCGTTCTACAGCTGCCTCCGTTGGCCAGACGGTTATGATCAACACTTGCACTGGCAGCACCGCTCAAAAATGGATATTCACCTCTGAGGGGCTCCTTCAAAATGGTGCCGATACCTCGCTCTGCATCGATGCAGGTCGGTTGCGCCATTCCCAAAGCTGATCCCAAGGCTAGGCGAGAGGCGCATCATGCAAACTGACCCAAACCCATATCGCGGGTCTGCCTGCCGATGCTTAGCACCGCCCCGCCCTCGCCCGTGCGATGAGCTGCCAGCCAAAAACTTTCCTTTCTGCAATGCTTCCTTGGACTTGGACACGCGCATTCGCGATGTCATTAGCCGCCTCTCCATCCAGGACAAGGTGGCCCTTACAGCCAACACCGCAGGCGCCGCAGCCGACGCCGGTCTCCCCGCGTATCAGTGGTGGTCAGAGGCGCTGCATGGCGTTGGCTTCAGCCCCGGTGTGACCTTTATGGGCAAAGTCCAAGCTGCCACCTCCTTCCCTCAGGTAGCACAGACCAGACCACTTTCAACCAACTCACCCGGCTAGGACGCGCCCGCTCGAACACGGTTTGCTCACGTTCGCACCCACCACCTCATTGCACACAATGCGCAGGTGATTCATACCAGTGCTTCTTTCAACAAGACGCTTTGGCACCATATTGGTATGACCATCTCGACCGAGGCGCGTGCCATGAACAACGTCAATCAGGCTGGCCTCACTTTGTAAGCTATCCCTGCCCAGTTGCTCATTTGCTGAGCCATGCTGCATTCATGCGTCGGGCACCTCCGGTGAACTTTCTTGTTCTCTCTTTTTTTCACATCACAATACCCTTTGCTCTTTTTCCTTTTTTTTTTTTTTTTCTTTTTTTTTTTTTTTTTTACTCCCCTGCCCGCCATTCACCCCATCAGCTGGGCCCCCAACATTAACATTATTCGCGATCCTCGGTGGGGTCGAGGCCAAGAAACTCCGGGTGAGGACCCGTATGCCACTGGCCTCTACGCGGCCAACTTTGTCCCGGGCATGCAAGAGGGTGAGGATACACGATACATCAAAGCCTCTTCGTGCTGCAAGGTACGCCTCATCCTGCAAAGTTGTCTACACGTGCCATTATAAAGCCAGTTCATCCCTCCTCCATTGGATTCCACCCATCAACCCCGGTTCCTCGTTGTTGTTCCTTGCTGCCTGTTCTGAAACCCCTTGGGGCTGATATCTTACCACCTTACCTTGGCCGCCCGACAGCACTTTTTCGATTACAACCTGGAGGACTGGCACAACGTGGATCGCCACCATTTCAATGCCATTGCCACCGATCAGGACATTGCCGACACCTACTTGCCAGCCTTTGAGAGTTGTGTGCGGTTCGGTCGGGCATCGAGCCTGATGTGCTCCTACAACGCGGTCAATGGCGTACCCTCATGCGCCAATGCTGATATCATGACCACGCTGGCCCGTGAAGCATGGGGATTTGATGGCTACATCACCTCGGACTGCGGCGCCGTGGAAGATGTGTATTCAAATCACAAATACTACAACACGACCGGGGCGACGGTCAACGGCGTCCTGTCGGCCGGTATGGATGTGGACTGCGGCTCATTCTTGTCCCAACATCTGGCCGATGCCATTGACAGCGGAGATGTGACCAATGCCACTGTCGATCAGGCGCTCTACAACCTGTTCCGAGTGCAGTTTCGATTGGGCATGTTTGACCCTGCTGAGGACCAACCCTATTTGAACCTCACCACAGACGCCGTCAACACACCCGAGCACCAACAGCTGGCGCTCGAGGCAGCGCGCCAAGGCATGACACTCCTGGAGAATCGCGACAGCCGACTGCCCCTTGATGCCAGCAGCATCAAGCAACTGGCTCTCATTGGCCCCAATGCGGTCGGTGTCGGCCTATGTCGTGTGGGACACTATATAGGCTTTGTGCATGTCTCGATCAACACTCATAGGCGACTGTCGCGCCGGCTCACTTGCCACTTGCTATTGCCACTTGCTCTTCCCCTCGCGGTCGTTGGGATTTGGCGTGCATCGTGCTTTAGAATGCGACTGGTGTCATGCAGGGCAACTACAACGGCAAGGCACCTTTCTTAATCAGCCCACAACAGGGCGTGCAGCAATACGTGAGCAACGTGGCGCTGGAATTAGGGTGTGATGTTGGCTGCGCTTCAGATGGTGGGTTTGCCAGCGCTGTGACCGCCGCAAAGGCCGCCGACACGGTGGTGATGGTTATTGGCTTGGATCAGACGCAGGAGAGTGAAGGCCACGACCGCGAGATTATCGCCCTCCCCGGTATGCAGGCAGAGCTGGTGGCCCAAGTGGCCAACGCATCCAGCTCGCCAATCGTGGTCGTGGTTATGACGGGCGGGGCCGTGGACTTGACACCCGTCAAAGACCTGGACAACGTGGGTGCGATTTTGTGGTGCGGTTATCCAGGCCAAGCCGGTGGCCAGGCTTTGGCAGAGACACTGTTTGGCGACAACAACCCCGGTGGCCGTCTCCCGTACACGCTGTACCCTGCGGATCTCGTGAACCAAGTCTCCATGTTCGACGACGGCATGCGGCCCAACGCGACCAGTGGCAACCCAGGTCGCACTTATCGCTTTTACACGGGGACGCCGGTCTATGCCTATGGCACTGGCCTTTCCTACACGTCGTTTAGCTATGAGACCTCGACGCCAAGCCTGCGTGTATCTGCAGAGCGCGTGCGTGCTTGGGTCGCAGCGCGTGGGCAGACCTCGTTCATCAGGGATGAGGTGGACGCGGAGGACTACATTACTGTGACTGTACAGAATAACGGCACGGTGGCTGGCGCTGATGTTGTGCAGGTGAGTAGGTGGGCGCCGGCGCACTGGGCTTGAGCTAAGACTCATGGCGCGATGGCTCCGTTGTGCCCCTAGGTTTTCATCAAAACGACCACGCCTGGAGCTGATGGCAACCCCATCAAAAGCCTGTGTGGATTCGAACGCGTGTTTCTCAAGCCCGGCGAGACGACTTCCATTCAGGTCAGAGGAATACGGCCTCCTCGGCCTTGACTTCCGGGCTTACCGTGTGTTGAATAGCCAGCGACCTCATCGAGATGCTCTTGTCATGGATTGGTTGGCATGTAGTTTCCTGTGACCCCACATGACTTGAGCGTCGTGAACAGCCGTGGGGAGCGCGTAGCTGTTCCGGGCACCTGGACCGTCGAAGTACATCACGAGGCGCGCCTCAGCATTCCCATTTCTGTGGAGTAAATCATTCGATGAAGGCTTGGTTGCGTGCTTCAGCACCACCGAAATCAAACGTCACTTTTGTTGTTTTCTATTGATATCCTGTTGTGCCGTCTTGAACGTACACGAATATCCGGCGAGAGTTGTGCTGGTTGGGGCGATCGCTCGCCCATTATGTACACGATCATCGATCGCCGCTGATTGGCTCCACCCGTCTTTTTGTCCGAGGCCGTGATGCATCTCAGCCCCGATGTGCCACCCCAGAGCCCTGTGATCGCCGCGAATTGACACCCGTTGCCCTTGTTTGAGCCCTCCCACGGGCACCTCCACGTAACTGACATGTTGACGCAGAAGCAGCACCTTAGTGTTAGGTTGTTGCGCCTTGTTGCTGTTGCTGATGTTGATGATGATCAGAATGTAAGAAAAAATGAGAGAAGAGAGTTGAGAGAGAGTAGAGAGTAGAGAGAGAGAGAGTAGAGAGAGTAGAGAGGTAGAGTAGAGAGAGAGATGAAAGAAGAGAGAGAGTAGAGAGAGTAGAGAGTAGAGAGGTAGAGAGTGGTGCATGTGACAGCTTGATCACATCTGCGCCATTTTGTGTGCGTATGGGTATGCACCCCATGGCTCAAGTGAAGCAAATGCAGTCGTGGTGGTTCGAGGCTCAGGGTACCAGATGGGTAGAAGGAAAGCCGGTAAGGAGGGATGCTGTGGATCGTGATGCTTCCTTTCGGCCAGCCTGGCGACGTGCGCCGTGTCACATTGCTGATCGTTTAAAGAATCCCTCGCCTGTTATGGGCTTTGAGCCGACCGAGACGACTCAGGCGCGCCTACACATGACCTAGATTCCCTTCCCGTGTGATGTACCATGTCACCTCCACCTGGGTTGCTGGTGAGAGTGGCGTTGGAAGATTGACAGCCATGTCCTGTGGGGTGATGGCCATCAGCCTCCTTTGTCCCTACGCCGACCATGCAAGTTTTGAGCGAGTAGGCGTTTCGTGGCGCAAAAAGTGGATGACCTCCATCACCAGCAGCCCCGCGCGAATATGGTTGCTTGCAAAGGCTTCTCTGTTTGAGGAGCGCATCGCAATCGCAAACACCGCCCTCCTCGAACGACCCATCACCTTTCATGCCTTCACGGTTTCCGGTCACATCCGCCTCCATCACCATCACCGATTCCTTCGGCGTGGCCCATTTCAATTAAAGGCACACAACTGAGGACATGTGCCCATTCGCAACCCAAGTCTGATCACGTCCCCAATTCACCTCTCCATCATCATCAACCAAGAGCCGGCGCTTGGTTGACTCGGGCCGTGTTGAGGGAAAGAGAGGCCGATATTGCCTCCAATTGACGCTGTCACGTCAAGTCGCAGGATGCCAGCCGTTGAGTCGGTGCATGCAGATAACAGCTCAAAGGAGAGAACAGAAAGGAACCCCCGATCTAGGCACGGGAGCCGAGCGGCGCAAGGGGAAAACGAAGGAACACCACCTGCCATCCCATGCAGTGCCGCCCATTGCCCATTGGCTGTGTGGATCGCCCTTGATCATCGTACACATACACATCCCATCCACCAATCACATCATACCATCGGGCAAACACACGGACCTTGGTCTTATTTTCCCGCCTCGTGCCGTGTGACATAACACTGTCCGACTGCTGCATTTGCAAACACCATCGCCCTGACACCACCCTCGGCTTCTGCCCTCGTCCACGCATTTCCCTCGCAACCTCTTGTTGATTGCTGCATTCGCGACCGACTGCCACTTGCTGCTTTTCTTTCTGACACGCACGTGCATTTGCCAGCCTCATTCTGGGTCGCTGCCCTGAACGCGTTCTCGGTCGCCATCGCTACTACTGCTTGCGATCATCGTGTGTGACTGAGGGATTTGGTTTTCCCTAACAAGCACCATGAGTACCGTGCTTTCACCGGCTTCTTCAAGTCACTGCCCTTCCGCAGTCGACTGCCGTGCTGCTGAAGCCTTGTCCGTGGACCATCCTTCTCCCGATGCCAAACGCGCCAAACTCAAGGCTGCCTCTTCCCATGCTCTTGTTTGGTGCGTCTTGTGCAAAGCATTTCGTATGGTAGTGGTTCTGCCGTTGGTTGACTCTCTCACTTCTGATCGTCCCTCCAGCCCCGTGTGTCTCCACGCGCCCACTTGTCCCGTCCGAGCGCCATGCCTTCATGTTTTCTGGTACGCCAGGCGTGATCCTCTCGCTGCCGAAGTAACTTGATGCCCGCTCTCATGCAACTTCCCCGATGCCTTTGGCGCACACGTGACTATTCAGTGGCGCATGCTGCCAGACATTTGCCAATGCAACCCAGCCCGCCCGAGTTGCGTGCCCAGCGCGTGATTGTAATGCCACTTGGGCGCCAGACGACCTTCTTCCTTGTACCGACGAAGCACAACTTGGTGTGTAGACGTCGCCGTTCTCGACTTGACTGGCTCTACTGGGCTCACCCCACCGGCCGTATTATTAGATTCAGAAACTGATTCATCTTCACGCGATAGCGGCGTTGAGACTCAGGTTCCGGCAAGCATGGGTCGCAAGGCCCCCCTGGCCGTGACCCATTCCACCTCCAACCAAACACCATCCACCAAAGAGCTGGACGAGGTATGCTGTCCAACACTGGACCAACTCAAAAGTTGTGGGGTACTGCAGTTGACCTCATGGCTGTTCTTGGCGACAGGGTGAGGAGATGCTTCACGAGGCTTGCCGGACCTTTCTGGAGCGGGCCAAACTGCGCCGGCAACGCGAAATGGCACGTCTCAACCAGCAAATGCAACTCTTTGACAGTGGGCTTGAGCAGTTACAGCCGGTACAAGCAGCAGAATCCATCATTTCCACATCGACACCCACCATCGACACCAGCTCATCGGACTCGCAAAGGGCGGTATTCGACTTTGAACATGCCTCCGAGTCCCGAGACCAGCTGCCGCATCTGATGGTAAGTCTCAACCCTGCTTCCTTGGCTCGTGCATGCAGCCTGAATACTGCTTTGTCTGCGTCCCAAATGGTTTGCTAACATGACCACCTTGTGCGAGTTTAGGTCGGAGCCAATCATCAGCGGCGCCTGCAAGCACGCTTGTACAAACACTTTGACGATTTGCAAGAGGCCTACCTGGAACACCACGGTTTGTTACCGCGCATGGGCGTTGGGCGGATGGTAGCCGAGAAGAGTACCGGCCGAGTGCACTCATCTCTGTCCCGTGTTCCCAACCCTGTAGCCGTGGCCGATGATAAGCGAGAGGCCTTTCGGCGCTTCGCGGATGATGTGCGCAACATGGATCAATTTGCACGCCTGGAATCTGTGTGCCGCTTGCGTTACGGTGATTTGTACAACAACAACTCAATTGTCTCCAGGTTTGTGAACCCCACACTGACCCTCTGATGCTGTGTCCATGACGATCTTCCCAATCCACCTCAATTTCGCCGAATTGCCAACTTCTGTGCTCTTGATGCTGTAGCATTGAGTTGGACCCTGAAGAAAACCGCTTTGCCACTGCCGGCGTGAGCAAGCAAATTCGTGTCTACGATTACAACACGGTTCTGAGCCGCGGCAGACAAGGCGCGGAGATTCATTTACCCATCCTGACTATGGACTGCCCCTCCAAGATCAGCTGTTTAGCTTGGAACCCAGTCCAAGGGCATCAGCTCGCCAGCTCAGGTGTGACGTTCAACGCGAAGCATGCCATTGTGCACGTTGCTCTCTGTGTCTAAGGTTCCCGCCACGCGTAACCGCAGCCCATCTACCCGGTAGTGCTCACTCTTACGAATTACCGCTCACACACAGACAACCACGGCAGCGTACGCGTATGGGACGTTAACGCGGGCACTCCCATCACAGTATTCCAGGTATGCATCGCGTTCACAAACAGCTTGAACAAAGCACTGTGAGCCTGACCAAGGTCTGCATCGTTGCCACTGCAGGAACACGAGCGCCGGGTGTGGTCCGTGGATGTGAACCGACAGAACCCTGTGCTGCTAGCCAGCGGCTCTGATGATCGACAAGGTACGGGCGGTAGTGGCGCTACTGCCCTTTGTTGTTGTTTTTTTTCCTTGGCTGCTCCGATTACACGGGACTTTGCTCAATGTCAATCTCTGTTTGGATGGTTCACAAACACAGTCAAGATCTGGAGCACTCGAATCCCTCAGCACTCGGTATACACAATGACGGGCCCAGCCAACGTCTGCTGCGTGCGCTTCAATGAATCTGACGGGTGAGGCCTCGTCTGCTTGCCTCTTGAGCCACTGTGTGAATGTGAGCGCGAGGGTGTGGTTCTCATGTGATTGTTGGCACAGCAACTACGTGGCATTTGGCTCGGCCGATCACCACATCCACTACTACGACCTGCGAAAGCCCAACAAGGAGGTGTGGACCTTCCGTGGGCACGAAAAGGCTGTATCTTACGTTCAGTTTCTGTCTGGCCACGAGCTCCTCTCTGCTTCCACGGATGGCACGCTGCGCGTGTGGCGTGTGGACCAGCAAAACGCCCATCGCGCGTTCGCCGGGCACTGCAACGAGAGAAACTTTGTTGGCCTGGCACGCCGAGACGCCAATTTTTTCGTAACAGGGTCAGAGGACAACGCGGTGTACGTGTATTACAAGGGGCTGACTGCGCCTCTGCTTCGAGGTGCCTGTGACACCGAAGCAGCGGTGCCCCAACCCGTGGTTGCGGCTGGTCAAGCAGGCGCTGAGCCCGCGTCTCGTGGATTTGTGTCTGCCGTATCTTGGCGACGGACCGACGATGCACTGCTCGTGGCCAACAGTGAGGGCACGTTGCTCGTGTACCAGCTGCATCACGAATAACCTCGTGGCTGCACGCGCGCGATGACTTGAACATTTCGACTTGGCTGCCGCTTGATTAAAAGGATAATTAGTAGACTGAAATGAGAGAAATTTTCATGTTAATTGAACTTGGCTAGGGGTATAAGCAAGTGATCGACTTGCCACTGAGGACAGCTCGCTCTCTCCACGACTATACTTTCACCACTCACTGCTGGCGGCGGTCCTCACCAGCAATATGAACAACTACAACACAAGGGCGTCGTATCACTACAAGTATCGTTATCATCTGAATCAATGCGAAACATGTTCGTTGAAATTGCCGCACCGGGCCTTCACTTGGGAAGGGTGACAGTCGACAAGATGTGGCGCATCGCTGTCGCTGTCACGCGCGAAGCTGGAGGAAGGAAGCACGGGGCAAACAGCGTATGCCACGCCCCCTCTTCAATGTGCTGCCGTGAGTACAAGGGTTGATGAGCGTGCGGTGCGTTTGCTGGGCAAGATTTTGCCCGTGCATGCGGCTGGTGGCCTGATTTGAAAGGAATTCGAGCTTACTTGGGGTGGAGCGAGGCGGGCCGTGCCAGCGTGCAAAGCAGCTCGGACATCATTCAGGCTCATCTTGCCGTACGGCTTTGATCCATGGCTGTAGATTTCCCAGCACGTCACGCCTACGGGATGGTGCCATTTCGAGCCATTCGGATAAAGATGCCTGTGATGAGCATGCCGGTTGCGTCGGCCTGAATCTTTTTCGTCAGGCAGCCTACCGTAGCTCCACATATCAGAGCAGGGTGTGGGCAGAGCGGTCTTGAACAATAACTGCGGATGGAAAAACCCAGTCAGAATTGGCCACCAACCAAACAGACAGGAATGAGGCAATATTGTAACACCCAAACGTCGGAGCTCAGCTTGCGCCTTCAAAAGTCTCAGAGGGTGATGTACCTCGGGTGCAATCCAACGCACGGCAATGCGCTCGGCGTAGTCCTTGCGCACTGAGCCCTGCGTAGAGTATAGCATGCGTGCAAATATCAACTTGAATCTCACACGGAGACGACAAAGAATATGCTCGAGACACGCTCGATGCGAGTGCGTACCTGCCATGATGCCAGGTCAAAATCACCAAGAATGCAATCGGTATTGCTGTTCAAAAGTACGTTACGGGTAGCCAGATCGCCTATTGGGATTCAGTTGCATGAGTACATAGAGTAGCTTCAGCTGTGACATTCGGCCGCAAACGCTTACCGTGCGCGATTGTTCGCGAGGCCAGAAACTCGAGCGCTTCGCAGATCTAAGCAGGCAATTTCAAACGTGGGAGGCAGATCAAACGGCGTGAGCTCCCAAAGAGGGCGGTGCAAACCTTGGCAATCCATGACGGCATTGAAAATTCACACCTGAGTCACAAACTTGAGGCGCACTTGCGGCGTCACCTTCTTGACGGAGGTCTTCTCCAGATATCTGGTTCGCACATGTGGCACAAGTGTGGCATGCTTCATGAGCAAAGCCAAGTAGAGCATGAGTGATACGACGTCAGGACCAACCTTGAGAGGGAGCCTTGCTGAGCTTCAGCCATGACCAAGGCTGGACGGGGATGGTCAAGAAGAAGTCCAATCATCTTCACGACACGCGGATGGTGCAACCCGGAGAGGCAAATTGCCTCGTGCAAGATGGCATCTTCCCAGCCTTCATGTGCCTGTTTGATGACAACCTGCAGAACCGGGCGCACGCATGGTTCATACGGCGTTGAGAACAGGGTGTGTACACGATGCCAACCTGCAACCATGAGGTATGGTGGTACATCGCGAGATGACCCACCGCTTCTTGACGGAAGGTGGCGGGTTTCACGTTGCCGCTGGCGCCTTTGCCTGGATGGGCAGCACAACAGCTGAATGAGCTACCGCACCAAATACGCCACATGTGTCTGGCTAGTTTGCGCGATTATGGGGGGCGGGGGGGAGGGGGAAACCTACCAAGTGAGCCGAACCGGAAACTCAACTCGGCACGGTTCAAGATGAGCGGGCTGAGTAGTCGAAGCCGCTCATCTTGCTGCCAGTTTGGGTGCACTTGCTGAAGATTCGCCACGGGTGGCAGCGAATAGCCGCCGGGCACCTTTAATTATCCATGCAAAACGGGAGTGAGCGGCGGTCAAATCACAAGGGATCAAGGAGACGGTGCGAGATTTTGACAAAAGGCCAACATACCGATTGCGGTTGGGTGGCCGGCGCTTGAGCTGGTTGCGGCAGGGGATTTGTCACCGGAGTTGGGCTGAACGCAGGAGCTTCCGTCGCCCCCACAGCTTCCACAGCAGATCCCGCGGGCTCGTGAATTGGCACCGAAACGGGCTCTGGCACATTGGTGATGACACGATTGTCATCAAGCTCGCTGTACATGCCCTCTTGCGGCGCTGAGGCAGTTACACCTCCAGCGTCATCATGATCGTAGAGGGCATACGTCTCGAGGTGTGCTTGCGTTGATCGCAGTCGCGTGCCGCAATTGGGGCAAAAAGGATGGTCATCAGCGGCATTCTGAACATGTGAACCGAATAGTTGGCCACGAAAAAAAAGAAAGAAAAAAAAAAAAAAAAGAAACACGCGTGAGTGTGACATGATCTGCACGGACGGCCAAAACTGATCGGGCATACCCGAGCAAGGCGATCGGGGAGAGCAAAATCGCAGCTTGGGCAGGAGTCGATAATCGCTACGGGACGGCCATGGCTATCCAAGACTGCTGCAGGGCGCTTGATCATTTGAGACTCCATCATGCGTTCAATCAGCTTTTGGATCGTGGGGTACGCAGTGCCGCCTCGCTGTGTCATCCACTGCCCTGCTGAACCACGAATCTAGGTCGATGTGGCAAGCGAAACAGTCCAACAACTCGTGAGATGCTGTATCCAACGAAACATCATCAGGTCAGACGGAAAGCTGATGCACCGGGCCTACCAGGATATGCTGAATGCTATCAGGAGCAACACGGATTGAGATGCAGACAAAGCCATCAACGCTGCTGGACTCGCGCACCAGAAAGTCGCCGTTTGCCGCCAGCTCATGAGTCAGGCGCACCACGGCCAACGAGCGGCTGACTGGCCCTATGTGGTGGATAAACAATGATCAGTGTGGATGCCTGAGCATCAGGGGCGAGGCAAGCTTGCTTCACCCGGAGCTAATGCCATACGAACCATGATACCAATCCATGCCATGCAGGCCTGCGGCCTTGGCAATGACTGTGCTGTAGCAACGCTTGCAAATGCGGGTGGAGGCATACAGTGGGTGGCGCCGCCCTGAGCAAGCCTCGCACGCCAAAATACCACACAGACTAACAGAGCACGTCAGCAGAAAGACAAGAGTGATGAGCTGGCCTGTGTATCCTCGGTCTTCCTGCTTTGAGCAGTAGACGTGGTAGGGGTAATCGTGGAGAGGAGAAAAAGTCAACGAACCGACAGTGATGGCGGCGCTTGAAAAAGGTGAAGCGCATTTCGCAGAGATTACAGCCTTGTCGTGCCTCATCGGGCTCCCACTGTTGCCGAGGCAGCTCCAACATGACAAGCTACTCCGTGTGGAAAAACGTACAAGACCCTTGGTGTGAGCTCGCAATCATACCATTTGCCACTGCAAGAAGGGAGGAAGCGCACTTGGCCATTAGCTGCAATTGGGTTCATTTGAGGTGCCATGGTCATGTTTTGAGGGATGGCCGGAAAGCCCTGCGCTGAGTTGAAGGCTGGAGGAGGCATCGCGGAGCCAAGCGTGGCTAGGCATTGGCGCGGAAAGGCAGGTACATGAGGATTTGCTATCTTTCTGGTTTGTCTTGAAGAAGGGGGGTGGGGACATGGAGGCGGCAGAGCGTGGTTGGCGAGGCTTTCTACCTGGATACATGGCGTGTGCTGGGGCAGGCGCGGGCGTAGGCACGGGCGCGAGTGTGGGCGCCAGACCGGGTGCGGGCGTGGCCGTGAAGCCAGGCTGCCTCATCGAAGCGGCACCAGGCTTTTCCAAGTCCGGCCCATCGCAAGCATACGGAGGCGGGGCATCATCCTGATCAAAGGCACTGGCCACCGCCGTCGTCGCCTCCATGCTCCTCGGTCGCTCCTGCTCTCGCCAACCGCAGCAGCAGTGAGGTGTCAAGGTCCCAAAAAAAAAAAAAATCCAACACAGTCACTGTAAGGCGACTGATCTTCGAGTGCGTGAGTGCGCGTGTGTGTGTGTGTGTGTGTGTGCGTGAGTGCGTGTGTGTGCGTGAGTGCGTGTGTGTGTGTACCTTACGTTTGGGGCTCAGCCGAGTCCGACAACAACAACAACAAGAACGTTAACAGTCCTGGTGTTTCGAGTCCGAATGTAAGACATGTACATGTGCTTGTAAGTGTGTAAGTGTGTAAGTTTAAGGTTGTAAGTGTGTAAATGTGTAAATGTGTGTGATTTTTTTTTGCTTTCGAGAAGTGGAATTCTCACGCACAATGGGAGGGAGGGAGTCGCCATGGCATAGTAGATGATCTCAGATCTCAGACATAGGGGGGGGAGGGGGGAAGGTGCGAAGGGGAGCTGTACGATGATAGAGACATGAGAAATGGTCAAGTTGCCTGCCATCACGGAGACTGAAGGGGGCTTTCATGAGTAACTCGTTAGAGGTCAATGGCTCACATTTCGCATCACATCACCAGCACCAGCAGTTCACGTTGACCTCCAAAGCCACGAAAAGCGATCCAGAGCAGAGCAAGCAAGGTGGTCCTGTCTCCACTGGTAGATCAAGCCTTGGAGCTGATGTGACTACGCTTGTTTTTGTTGTTCTTGTTACTACTCTTGTTGTTGTTGTTTTTACAATGACAGAGATCAGACTCTTGTTTACAATGACAGAGATCAGACTCTTGTTGTTGTTGTTTTTACAATGACAGAGATCAGATCCATCAAAAAAGCATCAGACTGCCCAACTCTCGGGCGTCTATTGCAAACCAAACATAAGCTAAATCTCGCCGTCTTCCTTCTTCGCTGTCTCAGCTTGACTGTGACTTGGAGACAATGGCTTCGCGTCGTCACCCGAAGCACCTTGCTCCGAGGCCTCTGTCTCGTGCTCGTTCTGGATCTTGGTCCGTTGTGCCGGCGGCTCACCGGTGCTCAGGTCTGAAGCCACTTGGCCCACGGTCGAGAGCGTTTGTCCAGCCAACTCGAAGGCCATGGGCTTGGCCGTCTTGGCAGGTTTTTCACCGCTTTCGTCCAGATTTTGGTCATGATTAACAGCACCCTCCTTCTCGGCATCGAAGCGATGTCCAGCCAGGCTAAAGCCCAAACCGCGACGGCCAATCTGAAATAAATGGAAGAAAAGAGAGACAGGGAGCGATGACCCAAGACAGTGCATGGTGAGGCACAGGTGTGACGAGCCCAGCCAAATTGGAAGGTCTTGTGCTGTTCTGGCCGCACCTGTGAGGATTCGAGAATGGGCTCGGCAGCACCCTGGGCCTCACGCCCCAACCCCTTGCCCTGTTTATAGCCCATGCCAGCCATCAGGCGCTGGGCCGTGTTGCTGTACTGGGCCTCGTGTTGCTTGCGTTTGGCATAGGCCGGCTTGCCAGCAATGTACTACGATCAGCATCAAGGCCGAGCAAGTATCAGGCTTGTGTTGGGCAAGCATAACGAACATGGCAGCGGGCTGCCGCCTATACCTGACGTTGAATAATGCCTTGTTTGCGCACGCCTGGATCTGAGTTGCCGTCGGCCAGCGTACGATGGCCTAGTTCCCGACTAATTCTGAGCAAACGGGAGCAGGTGGTGAGCGAGTCCCAACAATCAGACAGAGTCGATCACTCGCCGGATGATGGTCAGACAAGACGGGGCAAGGTGTCGTTGCAGGGTTGTCTTGGTCAACGCACCGCTCTGACAAGCGACCCACGCGCTCTGCTAGTTCCTCTGCACTCAAATCAGCCGTACGCTCCTGCTTGATGTAGCGTCGAAGAACCTCAACCTGGAGGTGCCACCGACCCATTGATAAAGTGAGCTCGTGAGGATAATAGCAGGTGGGAAAAGGCGCACGCTTGCGGTAAAAATGTAATGGGAAACGGTCACAGCTGCACGCCTGACCTCGGCGCGACAGTCGTAGCAAAAATCGATGCCCACGGCTTTGACGTCGTGCTCATACCGTGCCACCCGCGCCACCGTGTTGAAAAAGAACATTTGCTGCTCATACTTTTGATTGTCGTACCCCTGCATCTCCGTGCCCTCGACCAGCAGGCGGGCTTCGGTCGTGGTCATGGGACCCCAGATTGGCAGGTATATATCACCTAAAATCGCGAATGGAAACAACAGCAGGACATCAGGAACGGCATGTGGCACAGAACTGTTGAAGTGGGCAGAAGTAGCTCGTCGGAGCGAGCAATCTACACTCACGGACCTTTGAGATAGTTGGTAATACCCTCCTTCCAGGAGAGTCGAAATTTGAGCAAGGAAGCCTTGGCTTTCATCAAAAGATGCCAACGCATTTGCGCCTCTTGGTCCGCCACGACTTGAGAGTCAACTTCCTGCACAATCCAAGCCAAAGTCAGTTAAGATGACAAGCAGGGACCTGCAAACGTGGAGACGGTTGGCTGGTAGGCAGCCCGACAGGCGGTGCTGACCTTTTCGTCCATGATATCCGGGTCGGCGCTACGAATGTCTGACAAAAAAAGGACATCTCGGTCCGCGAATTCGCGGGCCACGTCGTCCGTAAACATTTCCTGTTGCCCGTCGAGGGGTGCACACAGGATGAGGTTCGCCCGTGCGTTCCCACTTTGAACAGATTGTGACAAGCACACCAAAATACAACAGTAGGCTTACCTGACGCAAAATGAGTCGATCATTTTCGACCAGTTGCTTGGAAAAGGGCGCGGGGTCCACGCACACAAAACTGTGTTTGGGAAACATGCCCATCAATATCTTGACATGTGGGCCAGGTGCTAACCGATGTTGTCAGGTGATTCCACCATGGGGACCGGCATGAGGCTCCGTGTGCAATGGGTAGACATGACCCAACTGTACTCAAGAATATTTGAGAAGCCAACCAGCAAGGCTCACCAGCACCGGCGTAGACGACGAGAGGCGCCTTGTCGCCATGGAGCAAGAGAAACTCGATCTCACATAGCAAAAGCTTACGCTGACCCCAGTGAATGACTGAGAGTGGTGAGGCGAGAAGAGGACAGATGTTGAAGATGAGAGCAGACCATGTCAAGCGACCGGTTGGAGACGGGCCAGGGGAGGGGCTGAAACAGGACTGGACGGCGTTTGCTTTCAGCACCTGATTTTCGCTCGTTTTTGCGGCGGCGGTAGGGTACCGCTGGGGCGTCTGGCCTGAGAATGGTTTCAAATGGAAGATCGGTGCGGCTTTCATAGCCAGCTCCGGGATTCATGACCACCTGGTTACATGATGAGTGCGATGCTGAGCCTGGCGAGCACCTACAGCTGCCGCTATATCGCAAACGAGCATAGCTCCACAAGCAAACCCAGCACCCACCTGGAGAAGATGAGGATTAGATTCCAGGACCTCCAAAGTAGGGGGGTCGGACTGGCTGCCCTGCGGCGAATGTGATTCAGATCGTGGAGAGTCGTGCTGCCGGTGGTGGTGTCGGGTCTTGAAATGGCCTCGACCATTGTCTGGGCCGTTTGGGCCCGGATATGAGCGGGCTTGGTGGTGGCGGGGGCTGAATCGATCGTAGTTTCCGCGGCGGTCGTCGAACCTAGCAGCTCGCGCCCGATGATCATGTGGGTGTCCGTGGCTGAAGGCGTGGTTGTAGGCGGGGCCCTCGGGCCTCGCTTCGCTGGACGGACGGTGCTCGGGCCAGGCATCGCGGCGCTGCCCATTGGACCGGTCTTCATATCGTTGTTGCGCACGCTCGTCGTACGGTGCCGAAGTGCGTCGCACCCATCCTCTCTCATGATGCGAATAATCACCCATGACCTTGGTCCTACCCACCGGCACACCCGCCGGGAAGCCCAGGCAGTGAGGAGGAGGCGGGAGAGGGACAAGCGGGGAAAGAGCAAGGGTGTGTGCACCCTCGGGGAGCCGAGTCTCTCGTGTCGTCTTGGTGTTGTTTCGTAAAAAAAAGCTTACCTGTGGTAAATTTGTATTATGGTGAGTTTCGGGGTAATTTTCACTAATTTTTTCATCATTTTTTTCACTTGCGAGGATCATCTCCTATCGCTCGTTTGGTCCCGGTTGAAAGGTTGAAACGCCGCAGGGTGGTTCGACCATCGGCGGTCATGAGGTGAGGGTATGTGTGCAAGCCTGTCTGGAAGTCGCTTCGTGCAAAGCTCGAACTGGTACGGCAACTGTTTCCATGTTCGAGTCAGATTGAGAAAACCGGTCCGGAAAAAAAAAAAAACACCACACCATTTAGCTCGTCAATTTATTATGCACATTATCTATGGCCACACAGGCGGTTGGTGGTGTCTCGAAGTCTCGAAACGTCTCGCTCGCATCGTCCGCGCGGGGAGAGTGGTTGCGTTTGGTTCGAATTGCACACCATGTCACTCTGAACGTGAGCGTCCTCGATCGGGCCAGCCTGAACTGATCATGGTCTTGGTCACGTAAAGCACCACCGGCGGCGCATCTGGTGTCGTCGTAAGCTTTAAGTTTTATTGTCACGCGCATGCTGCGCATCTTGCAGTGCACACGCATCGTCTTCACTGGCCGTGCGTGACGGCAAGCAGTAATGTAGCACGTCGTGTCGCAAATAGCTTCAACCATCAGGTGCTTCAATACTCGATCTTGGCCCCCTCTTCATGCGGGTTGTACTCCTGTGAGGAAAGTTGCTGACGCGCGCCAGCTGCCGTCCCGCCCTTGCCGTAGAGGGCCACGTACTCGATCAGAATGCGAACGTCTCTGTCATCAAGAATTTGACTACGAAAGCGGTTCTTCAGGCGACACGCCACAGCTCGGTCACTTCGCAGCTCCATACAGTGACCTCGAAAGTGACTCCAGGGGAGCGGTAGATGGTACGGTAGAACGACAAGCTTCAAAATTGGTCGCGGGATAGCATAGCGCAACAGGTCCGCTGCTCTTTCAAATAGCATAAGATTGGTCCAAGAATAAAAAAAGAACAAGGTACGGCTCCTAAAACAATGATCCCTGGTGGGGAAACAAGGGCACCAAGCCAGCAAACCACAGCGGCTGCTTGCGGCAGGGCACATCACCGACCACCCCGGAGGAGTTCGTCGTAAGTAATGAGGCGCTTGGTGTCTGACAGGGAGATGAGGGCGCGCTTCCAGCGATCTGCTTCCACTTGGCTTTCGGCATAGAGATGATAGGTGCGCTCTGCACGTGTGGGCAAGGAAAAGCGACACGAGGCAGCGGCATCTCGGGGCCAGGGGACCAAGCCCAGGTCGGAGCCTGCAACAACGGCCTTGATGTGCCAAATGGCCCCTTTCTCTCGACCCAGCGGGCTGTGAACTGTGGCGCGCGGCTTGAAATAGTCAATGTGGCCTGTGGCAAGGTGGCGGGGTGGCGGTAGCATTGCCAAGCAGTGAGGAGAAAGATCATGGTCTGGTAGTGCTCAAGTGCAACGAAGGAGGCTGGCATCAGAGAGGAAAAGAGAGCAACTCACCATCCTGATACAGGACCATCCAGCGTCGCCGCCAGGTCGGGAAGATTTTGCCTGACAGTCATAGGGGGGCGGCAGGGAAAGGGAATGAGGTTGCCAGCCTCCACGAGCTGCCAGGCAATTATCTCGTGCATGTGGATGTATGATCCCCTCCTATTCTTTTGGCCTTGCGCGAGCTCACCTTGCTTGTACAGGTGGCCCTGCAGGAGGACGGTGCCCGAGCCGTCGGGGGCGCCTGCGCCTTGGGGAGCCGATTGGCGCCGGCCGAACATGTCGACTCGGACCCTGTCACTGCCTTCGCGCGCTCTTATCTTGTTAAAATTTAAAATACTTTTCAACCCTGTTTCTGATCCTCCGTTGATTCGTATTTCCACACATCACATCAACCATTCCACTACCACATGTCAGTTCTTCCATCGCTACCAGATGTCAATGCCACCGTGTCCCCTCTCTGACGAAACACAGCAGAAGAACTGGGCCAGTATGCAAGAGTAAGGTCATCCAGCATCATAACACACCACACACTGCGCAAGCGTTCTTTCAAGTAAATGCTATTCCCACTGAACGCCCCCCTTGCGTGTGTGTGTGTGTGTGTATGTGTGTGTATTTTCGTTCAAACTTGTAAGTGTGTGTGTGTGATGTGTGTGTGATGTGTCAAAAGGGCAGCGCGGGAAGAGATGGGGCTGGGGTGATGGTGATACTTGTGTTTGTGGAAGAGGGGTGGGGCGGGTGCTGAAGGGGTCATGCTGCGCGGGGGTCATGGAGGTGGCGATGGCTAAAAACGACTCGTTGTAGCTCTCGTTATACAGCCAGACCCTTTGCATAACTCGTCAGCAGCCCGAAAGCAGGCCTGACGGTGCGCGCCCAACCTTGGCCCCTCAGCCGTGCTCCACAGACACCTTGTGGCCCATTCGTATCTTGTTGTGTTGTATCCTGCGTCGTCATTTTCGATCGACCCTTTGTTGTATCGACGACGCTGATTCAACGTTGACCAGCACTTTTTTCTCATTTGTGAACTGCCACCTTTGCCGTGCCTTGGGGCCAGGTTTCAGCTTCTTATTCCTCCAAACACAACCGCTATCATGGCTGACTCCGATTGGGATTCCGTGACTGTGCTTCGCAAGAAGAAGCCCACCGCCTCGCAGGCCAAGTCGTCCTCGGTATGTTGTTCCCTTTTTGGTCAATATTTCCGAACCGCTTGCACGCACACCTGCCCCTCAATTGGTCAACGCCTGGTTCACGTTTGGGTTTGTTACTTGCAGGCCGTGAACGATGCTCGTCGCAAGGGTGCTTCCATCGACACTAGCTTCAAGTGTGAGTGGCGTGACGGGCATTCTCATTTTATTCGCCTTTTGTTATTATGACTCAATACGCTGACCTTTCCTTCCGGTCATGTATTCATCATCCTTGCTCGACGTCCATATCATGCTTAGATGCTGCTGGTACCAACAAGCAGCATTCCATGGACAAGAACACGGCTCGTCTGGCTGAGGAGACGGAGGAGCTCCACCGTATGTCACTCGCTCCCCTCTTCCGCCTCACCTGTTTGATGCACTTCCGAACAAAACACGCGGCCCAGTCTTGTTGTGCCCCTGTACCCTCGTCATTGTGCCCAACTCATATCCTATCCATCGTAATTGTAGACGACAAGGTTAGCATGTCGGTGGGCAAGGCCATCATGAAGGCCCGCAACGAGAAGAAGCTGACCCAGAAGGACCTCGCCACCGTACGTTTGCCCGGATCCTCACCTCGTTCCGCACCTGCGAGTGTCACTGTACCCAATGTTGCATCCCCCTGGCTCAAACGTTGTGCTTGTCTTGTCTTGCAGCGGATCAACGAGAAGCCCTCGATCATTCAGGAGTACGAGTCCTCCAAGGCCATCCCCAACCAGCAGATTCTCGGCAAGCTCGAGGTGCGTCACTTTGTCTTGTCCGGGCCTGATCTGCGTCTTTTTGCAGATTGCTCTTGTGGGTCATTAAGCCTGCCAGCACAGCGGCTCACCTTGATATTATAAACTCACGGGGATGCATTTTCTTCCTTCTCAATCATTACAGCGTGTTCTTGGCGTCAAGCTGCGTGGCAAGAACATTGGCGAGCCCTTGGCGAGCAAGCCGAGCAAGAAGTAAATTGAAAAGGCTTCCTTCTCTTTTTCTTCTTGCTTCTTTACCCACAAGAATGGCCAAGATTGCCTTGCCTTCTGAAAGGGCAAAGCAATGTCAAATGGGCCGCGCCCAATCTATCGCAATCCTGAAACTCGTTCGTCGGCTGTTGTGTGTTGTGTCGGTGCTTCCCTATGGTGTGCCGTGCGCATCTCCCCGGTGCCAATGAGTGCTTGGCATGTGAATTCACTCCTTTACACCTGCTTCTCCCTCCTCTCTTACGAACATAACATCTTCCGTTCTCTGCTGGACGCTGTCAACAAGACGTGTCTCAGCCCGATGCACAAATCAGCCCAACGACCTTGTAAGAAAAGACAGGAGGAAAAGACCTGCACACTTGCAAGCAGATGAAGAACCACACAACATGAGACAGGAGACACCAAAAGCAACAACACACGTGAATCTCTCTCTCTCTCTCTCTCTGTCTCTCTCTGTCTCTCTCTCTCTCTCTCTCTCTCTCTCTCGCTGTGTGCGTGACTCTCTCACTTTTTTCGCACACGCGAGCGCATTTGGCGGTAGTGGCCAAGATCGCGGCAGCTCGTGGCTCGACGTGCACGGGTCTGCACCCGGTTGGCGTGCTCAGGAGAGGGGTAAACCATTTGTACTCTCCAAATTCATTCATACATACGAGGGTTGAGTCATAGAGTCTGCTTCTGCTCGACCGTCAGCATGAGCGCCGAGAGTAAGTCGTCAGCATCAGCGCGCAGGCCGGGTCACCCCGCTCCTGCCACCGACCAGGGTTCCAAGCTCCGGCCCATCTCTCACGAACACATGCACCGTCTAGAAAATGCTGCGCCCGTGCAGCGCGGATTCGGCTACCTGATGCTTGGTGGTACCGCCAGTATGATGGCCGCCAGTTGCACACACCCACTCGACCTGCTCAAGGTATGGCCCTGATCACCCTCGGCGGAAACAGCTCGCTGGCGCTGGTTTTCTCGCCAAAGAAGCTTGCTGGCAAATTCACGGAAGGGTCTTTGCGTTGCTTGACCAGGTCCGCATGCAAACCAACACCTCGGCGACGCGTGGTACCGGCGTCCGCCCGCCAGGCCTCGTCACGACCTGCACTCGCCTCGTGGCTGCCGAAGGCATCACGGGGCTCTACCGCGGTGCGTCCATCCTCCTTTGTCTCTCGTGCCAGCAGACTGGACGTCAGGTCTTGCCCTTGGTTTTCCAAATCCTAACCATCTAGCGTCAATCCCTCTGTCCAGGCCTCACTGCAAGCCTGCTCCGTCAGGGCACCTACTCGACCACACGATTTGCCGGTACGCCTGCCCGATCATTCTCCGTCCACAACGCCAACGCATGGCTTTTCATCAACCACCTGGTCGTCTGCTCTTCGATGTGTTGAACAAGTGCAAATGCACCGGCGTGTGGAGCCATCTCACTGTCCACGTGCTTTGCCTCGCTCTCCAAACACCCAGCCTATGATTGGATGAAAATGCAGGTCCAGCAGCGTCAAGGGCGTGACCTCAACACTCCAGAGCGGTTTGCAGGTGAGCAATCACCCCCCTTCAGGCCCGCAACCTGCCTCGTCGTGAGCACACCTGCACTTGTCCCCTCTGGCTCATCAGTATGTCCGTCATGGGGGCAGTGGGCATGGCGGCCGGTGGTCTTGGTGGGCTGGTGGGTACGCCCGCTGACGTGTGCAACGTGCGGTCAGTCTTTGGTTCTGTTCTGTACCAGCGCACCTGTACATCAACGTTCCCGGTGCCAAACCTTCGCCCTGTCCGGCCTGCCGTCTTGTGTGCTGGTGCTCATCCTGCCTTTCCATACCCTTTCCTTTCACTTGGCACGTTCGCGCCGACAGGATGCAGGACGACGGGCGCTTGCCCGTGGAACAGCGTCGAGGCTACAAGAACGTCTTTGACGCTTTGTTTCGCATCGCACGCACCGAGGGCGTGGGTAGCCTCTACGCCGGACTTGGCCCCAACGTTCAACGTGCCATGCTCATGACGGCCGGGCAGATTGCCAGCTATGACACTTGCAAGAGCTTTCTGCTCAAAGGCACTGGGGGGCTTTTTCAAGACAACCTCATAACCCACTTTACGGCCTCGTCCATGGCCGGGGTGGTGGCCACGCTCCTGACTCAGCCCTTTGATGTCATCAAGACGCGCATCATGGCTGCGCCCAAGGGAACATATGCTTCAGCCTTTGCTTGCGGCGCCAGCACCGTCAAGGCCGAAGGTGTACTTGCCTTGTACAAGGGCACATTGCCGGCCTTTGCCCGCCTAGGCCCACAAACCATCTTGACCTTTGTCTTCCTGGAACAGCTGCGCAAGTTTTACCGCCAAGTTACAAAGGAGGCGTAGCTGATACTGGGACTGACAGGCGCCGGGCGTCTGCTGATCTTTTCGTGCTGCCTCCACGCCGAGCTGGTTGCCGGTGTGGCGGATCAGCACGGGCCCCAGCTCCAGCGAGGGGGCCCAAAGTTGAAATTCAAACAAAGGTTGTCCGCAGAAACATGTTATCATCAATCTTGAAAAGAGGCACACGTCAATTGCCGAGCGTTATGGGCCAAAAGCCCAGAGGCTGGCCACACAGACCAGTGCCTCTTACACACGCAAAACCTTGGCTGAAGATACAGCATTCGGTCCTTATCGTGGGAAACAGCACAACCGAGACCGGGCGCAAGCAGCGGAATCCTTGCTTATCAGCGTTAGCATCGGCCTTGCGGCTTGGGATGCGACGCGTCACTAAGGAGACGGCCTATCTTAGCGTCCTTGTTGCTTGTACGTGGGAGTGACGGTATATTTGGGAAGCATGCACGCGTATTAAAACACGAGCATAACCACCTTCAAAGAACCAGCACCCGCTCGAGACGAAGCAAAAAAGGCGCGAAGAGAACGTCGTCTTCCAGCAAGGGGCTGACACCATCATGTTGAGATGGTGGCACCACACTCAAGGTCGTTAAAACAGATAAACGAGGACAGCAAGCACGGAGAAAGCAGACGGCGGTGGCGCCACATGCGCAGCACATGCGGAGCATGTTTTCCAGCCGCATCATCTACTTGGCCTGTTGCTGTCCAATTAACCTCACCCACCGCGTGGGCGGCGGTTTCCGGGTCGCCACCGGCATGAGTCGCCTCCACCATTGCCATCCCCACCCCAAACACTGCTTGACAGATTGGGTCGCGGCATGTCCTGGCCTGTGGGACGGTTCACTGTGGAGCGAGGGGGCCATAAGAAATGGTGAGTACACTCAAATGCGGTGGCAGAGATGGTCAAAGGCAACGGGCAACATTGCAGCAATTTAGGTGAAAAAACCGACGAACCGCGGCGCTCTTGACGACCTTCCAGGACCGCTTGGCGACGCTCATCTTCGCGCAGCTGTGTTGGAACGTTGCGAGTGTGCCATTCACGCAGTCGAGTGAAGCGTGCCAAGACGTGTAAGCCGTACATTTCAAGTCCAAAAAAAAAAAAAAAAAGGAAGAAAAAAAACGAAACAGGAAAAAAAAAAAAAGCCAATGGACGACGGACAGCGGGCGTCGATGATGGAAGCAGTCTGGCAAAGAAAGAGGAAGTTCGAGGCATGACACACCTGCTTGGCAGCAGCTGAGCGACGGAGAAACTCTTCCTGTTGGCGAGCGCGGGCAGCAAGAACCGATTCTTGGCTGGCCTGCACCGGGGGCAGCGCCGTTGCAGCGCGGTAGGCAGCTTGCAATCGTGGTCTGAGCCGACGTCAAGACAAAGGCAGCAACATCAGCAACCAACCTGTTCACCTAGCCGATACCATTCACAGCCCCACCACGTACTTTAGGGCGTCGTAGATGAGGTAGAGCAGAACGGCAATGGCCACAACATACCAGCCGTTCTTCTGCATGAATCCCCAACCTAAAGCGTAGGCGGCACGTTCGAGTGAAGGGCGGGTCACGAAGCAAGCACGGAGAGCGAGACCTTGGTTGCACCACGTACCGGTGGCCAGAACATGGTTCAGGGCATCCAGCGGGCGGGCAAAGCTGAGGCCATGCTCCCCGCCACCCAGGATAGGGGCGTCTGCGCCCCCAGGCGGCACGGCGGCCGCCCCTTCGGGTGCGCCGTCTAGCACCACGTCACCATCACCACCACAATGAGGCCGAAAGACGATCAAAAACAATCTCATGCCCAAGAGCAACTTACCAGCCATATCGGCCGTGCGCGAAGGGCGCCGGTGCGTTGAATACACTCACCCCCCCGCCTTCTCTACGAGAAGATGATCCAAGAGCGAAAGCCACACGACTTGGGTCCCTGTCAAAGTGACTTTGAAAAATAGAATTGCGATGTCGACCCGACTGCCGTTTGCCAGAAAAAAAAAAAAATGAGAGAGAGAGAGAGAGAGAGAGAGAGAGAGAGAAGTCAGAGTTTTTGAGAGAGTGGGAAGAGAGAAAAAGAGAGGCTTGAGAGCTTGAGAGATTGAGAGATTGAGAGAGAGAGACACACACAGACACACCTTCTGCTCAAATGAGGAAATCAAAGAGAACTTTTGAGAAGATGCAGTATTATTAATGTATCAAGAGCTATGTGTTGCACACAAATGAGGACTTTATGAAGTTCTGTATACGGGTTTATTGATGTTTTGCTCGTGTCCTGTCTGCGGACGTTGACCGCGAGTTCGTGTCGACGGCTCGCAAGTTCGGCAGTGCCTTCCACCGCGATTAAAGGCACGTTGCTGGGGCTAGGCAGCAAAAGAAGGCGGGCTGATCATGGGGTGTCCGTACCAGGTCTTGTTGCTGGTGTTGGGTGCGACGTGGCCACTGCTGGATGCGGCGATCGATCCACCATTTGCGCTCCTCTGGGCCACCAGCGTCGACACTGCCGATCAAACGCCGGCCTTTCCCTGTACCGCACCAGGCGCAGTCTCCCTGACGTTTGTGCCCTCCAACGCCAGCCTAAAAATTGCTGCAGCCCCAAGCTCCGAGGCGGGCTGCATCGTACAGGGGCTGGCCACCGTCTTTGCCTGCGGATCCGCCTGCTCCGGCCAGTCCCTCGCAGACATCGTCGTTTTCAATGGCACCCAACACCTTCGCTTTCAGGTCGTTCGTGAAGCGCGTCCCGTGCGCCATCTTGGAGGACAGGTCCTCCTCAGCCAAGGTCCTGGCCCCTCAAATTCCTTCCTCTATGATGCGTGGACCCCCCTCGCCTGCCCACTCGCTCTACCCGAAGCTCCGCGGCCGAGCCTGAGCCCCAAAGCAGACCCATGTGGCTACGAAAGCCGACCCTACCCCGGCCGTACCTGGAGTTTCTTTCGCAGCCCGCTGCATCTTAACACAACCTGGGTCACACTGACTGCCCCCGTGCTCCTCGGCTGGGTTGCTGCCAACGCCTCGTCCATGGCCCAACTGGGCTGGCAGCCTCCCGCGCACTATCTCGAGCCGACGCCTCGCCCTCAAGGCCCAGATTATCCTGGAATTACGCCAATCGCCGGCGACGATGGTCGGCCGCTTGTAGCTTTGCTCATTAACGGGACCACTCTTGCCGTCGTGAGCCGACGCTTTCGTTCTGGCCCTCTCGTCTCCTGGCAGTCGGTATGTTTGCATCACCCTCGTAGCACAGGCTCGGCGCTACCGATCTCTTGTGTTGCCCAGGTAGGGCTTCATGCTGCTCATTCATAAACTCCCATGCTCATGCCTCTGTGTGAGAATGTCATCCAATAGACCTCCTTGGATGCGCCCTGCACAGGCTCGCTTCACGCCACTGTCTACGCCGGACCCTTCAACATTCAAGCCAATGTGACATGTGGGTCCACAGGGCAATTATTCCTACTCAACAGCACCCATCAGCTTGATTTTCACGATCGCGATGGCTACGGCATTGGCATTGGCGAGAGCAATCTGCTGTTCCTTGGAGCCTCAACCAGCTTGTCGACTTTGAAGAGCCTAATCGTGACCTCTGCGCTGCCGGATAAAACGGCGCCCGGCGTGCTCGCCCCCATTTCCGATCAGGTCTGCCCACCATCACTCAGACTTTGCATGAGTATCCTGCCCCAATTCCCCGCAAGAAACACAGACAGCTTCGTGAAAGCGAATCACTTGAATCCGAATGACACGACTCCGTTTGACTGACGCTCGCAATGCCTGCTCATATCGGCTGGCAGATTGGCACGCTGGCCTGGGACCTGGGTGAGTTAGGTGCCTACCACAATCAAGCCCTCGGAGCTCGTGCAAGCGAGGGAGTGCTCAATGTGACGGATCATCCCTTTTGTGTCGATCACACGGGCCAGTCTGACATGACAGCCCGCCTTCAGGCAGCGCTTGACTTTGCCCGCCACAATTATCTCACCGTCCTTCTGCCCGTCGGCGTGTACAAGGTGAGCTGCATCGCAGCCAGACGACCTACAATGTCCAGCTCTTTTCTCAACAGGCTGATTCTCCTTATTTTTGGCACGTTTGCCATTTCTTGGCTCAATACGGCCTATGCCTGCAGGTCACATCCCAGCTGAAGGCCCTTCAGTATCCTCGGATGGCAGTGGGGGGTGACGTGTGCTTCAACAGTAAGCAGCAGACACTCGATGCGCTCTCTTGTCTTCTGAAGTTTTACTACACAGCCCATCTCCCCCCTCTCTTGCTCATTCGCACCTCATGAACCTTGGGCGCGCAGGTTCCTCCAACTATTGCTGGAGCCGGTTCAGCACTTTCAAGATCCAGGGCGAGGTGCTGGCCTCGGACGCGCATGCCGTTGATTTCCTCTACAACCACCTTCCGCGACCGGGTCGAGCCACGCTATGGTTGCCAGCAAACCAAAGTGCATTTCAGGCGCCTGGACTGGCCTCGGCCTTGCTCAATGTTTCCAACGTCAACTGCAATGGACACTTGCAGCCCAACATTCTTATGAGTGCGGTCGTCCAGTCCCTTGACATCATCATTGACAGTCACAACCCAGCAGCGATGGGTGTTCGTTTACGTGGTGCGCAGGGTAGCAGTATGGAGGACATTATGGTGCGCGCAGCATCCGATGCTTATGCTGGCTTGTCGGGTGGCAGTGGCTCGGGTGGAGCGCATTCCAACCTCACAGTCGTTGGGGCTCAATTCGGGCTCGATGCGATTTTGACCCAGCCCTCTGCCACTCTCAGCAATGTACGGCTCTACAACAGCACCTGCGCTGGTCTCCTCCATGCCGGTGTTGGCCCCCTTTCCATCGCAGGCTTGTACACGCGCATGCGCCCCGGTATTCCAGGTGTGGTCTCGAGCCGTGCCAGCATCTTCAAGGCTTTTCCCGCTGGCTGTGTCCTGCGCTCTTTCGTTGCCGGTCAACCAACCAACCCCGCCTTGGCTGGCGCGCTGTCTATCCGCGATGGATTCTTTGATATGGAAGAGAGGTCCAATGTCTGCACCGCCAAGGCTCAAGCCAACTCGGCCTCGTTTGCGCCGGCCCTGACGACTGACTCTGGCCTCTATCTTGAAAATGTTGTCGTCCACAGCACGTTTGCGCCAGCTTTGGCCATCTACGATCCACACCAAGTGCCCTTGCACAACGTATCGTTGCCTGTTGGTGCAGGGCAGCCAGCCACGCTCATCCGCCAACTGGCCATCAATCCCGGTAATCTGTCCTATACATGCGGGCCCTCGATTGCCGCCCTCCTCAATGGCACTTTTATGGATCATGTGGTGCCCCTGCAGCACGTCGAGCCATTGGGTGCACTGCCAACACTCAACTCCTTGTTGGATCAGCACGGCTGGGGCGATAACGCGCGCTATCCCGGCCCCTTTGTTGGTCAAACGGTCATTAATGTGCTGCGGCCGCCCTACGTGGCCCCGAATGATGGTACAGCTGACGCCAGCGCCGCCATTCAAGCCGCAATAGACGACGCTGCAGCCATGTACCGTACCCCCACTATGCCGGTGAAACAAGTCGTGACCGTCTTTGTGCCCCGCGGCGTGTATCGCATCTCTCAATCACTCCGCATTCCCAACGGGGTGGCCCTCGTCGGGCTGGCACGTCACCTTACGTTGTTGGTGGCTGATGTCTCCGTGAGCGGACCGCAATATCCCAACGCGTCGGACATTCAGAACCCAGACGACCCACAGGCCGCGACCCCTGTGGTGCTTTTTGAGTTGGGCGCTGCTCGAGGAGGGGGCAATTCAACCAGCTCGGCCATCATCATTGGTGCATGGAGTGCCATGACTGTCACGGTGCCCCTCAACAACAGTCGCACCAGCCACTGGGTCATTCATTCCCCGCGCGGTGCACCTGAGATGGGCCACCTGGACTCTTCCTACTTTTCGTTGCGACAGACTTGGCAAACGCGCATTGCCGTGTGCGGCTCATGGTTTTTTAATCCACGATGTGCGGCGCGCTTCTTTGAAAGGCCGAACGCGCCCTGGAGCCAGGGGCTGGCTTACGGGCCCAATCCTGAGGTTCGACACCACGTTTTCTTCCAGGAGGATGGCGCACGCAACGGCGGCGGCGCTAACGTTTCGGCAGGGCGGAAACTGACCGTCCTGGGCGCTGTAGCCCCGTTCAAGGTGTATCAGCTGAATGGCGAACACGGGAGTTATGGCGCATATACTGAGTTCCGCGATTCGCAGGATGTCCTGGTGGTGGGTTGCAAGAGCGAGCAGGCGGGTGCTGGTCCTGTCATATGGGTCCGCAACGTCTCCAACTTTGTGTCCTACGGAACAGGAGGCTTGGCCGAGCCCCCGTCATACCTCGACCACTACCCGATTGGCTTTCCGCAGCTACCGCCGGCCTTGTACCGGGTCTCGGGCCCTGGTCACGCACGCTTTGCCAACTTTAATCCTCAGTTCTGGAACTGCAGCTTGGCTTGGTCAACGTTATACGATGATGCTCTGGGGCAGCTGGGTGAAGGTCCCGTGGGCCAGGTCCCACCTGGTCATTTTCCTGTGTTGTATGAGCGCAAGGCTTGAGACACGGGCCCGCACTGATGCGGTTCCAGCACGCGAAAGGTGTGAGTCCATTGAACAGATTTTGATTGGGCTGATGCTATAATGCGATATGACATTGTAATTGATGGCGGCCTTGCGCTGCATGGCCCTTGAGCATGATCAAGCTGCCTTTTGAAAGATGAGAACGTGATTGTTGGCGGGAAGGGCGTGGCGTTCTACAAAGCTCAAATGCACATCGGCCATGCTTTGGACCACATCCTCAAAGTTGCGGATGCCCCAAGCCGGGTCGCGGGAGCGAAGCGAGGCGTCAAAGTCACGGTTGGACTGGGGCTCAAGCTTGCCGCCAAAGGCGTAGGGTCCATACATGATGAGAAAGCCTGACGGCTTGAGGGCGTGCGCGGCGGTACGCGCCAATCCAGGCAAAGTGCCAGACGGTGAGATGTGGATCATGTTGGCATTGAAGACAGCATCGTAGTGGGCGGTTGGCAAATCATCAGGGGTTGGCTCAAGCATGTCCAGGTGCCGTGGAGGTAGGAAGCGACCCTCGGCGCCGGCCGGGCTCGCAGCTTGGTAGAGCGTGATGCTGTTGGGAGCGCATCGAAGCAGACGACGGGGTGTGTGGGTTAGCTCAACTCCAAAGACGATGCAGCGAGCAGAGGGTGGGTTAAACGGCCCAGCTGCAGCAGACCTTTTCATATAGACGTCGAAGCAGTCAGAGGGCTGCCAGCGGAGCCAGGGGTAGTGAGTCGTCATGTAGTCGGCATGCTGCCCTGAACCAGAGGATACTTCCAAGACATCAAGCAGCTGGTCTTGGGCAGCCGGTGCCTGAAGCGTGCCAGCCAAAATCTTGGCAATGTGAGGGGCATTGCTAGAGGAGCGTGGGGGGTGTTATCCATGAGCAGGCTTCTCCGGGACAGTGGATGTGGTCTAAAAGGCAAGCGAAGCGGGCCAAGGCTCTCACCGCTCGCAGGGCTCTGAGTGAATCTTGCCGGACATGAGGCGGGTGCGCAGGGACAATGGTCTTATCACACAAGCACGTTGATAGACTCTTTGCAAGCTCGATCGCCAAACCCCCACCATCGAGTCACCTAGCACACAATGATAAATCACGAAGGAGCCGGAGCAGGAGCTGGAGCAGGAGCCAGAGTAGCAGAGAACCACAAGAACCACAAAACAAATGCGCAAAAGAGAGATGAGGAGAGAGAGAGAGAGAGAGAGAGAATTGGTTTGAGAAAAGTAAAGAGCAATGACACAAAGGAAAAGCACAACTACCACAGAGAGAGATGAGGAGAGAGAGAGAGAGAGAGAGAGAGAGAGAGAGAGAGAGAGAGAGAGAGAGAGAGAGAGAGAGAGAGAGAGAGAGAGAGAGAAAGCGAAAGAGAAAGCGTAAGAGAAAGAGTGAGAGGGAAACCGAGAGAGAGAGAGAGAGAGAGAGAGAGAGAGAGAGCGAAAGAGAAAGCGTAAGAGAAAGAGTGAGAGGGAAAGCGAGAGAGAGAGAGAGAGGAGAGAGAGAGAGAGAGAGAGAGAGAGAGAGAGAGAGAGAGAGAGAGAGAGAGCGAGAGCGGCTCGATCGTGCATACAAGTGGCTCATGTTTGTTGAATGTGTGCATAAACGCGCGTGTTTTGGGGGCTTGGGTCTGCGCATGGCTTGAGTGACTAGGCCATGAATCTGATAATCATTTCTTCTGGTCATACTTTGCGAGATGCAATTCGCGGGATCAACGTCGCGGCGACTCTGCCGCAACCAAAAAGCAGCCGTGAATGACCGTTCATCAGATCTAGGGCGCAACCTCGTTATAATTGGCATCAGAGGTGGCAAAAAACTCTTCCATGCGCCAGAGCAGATTCTCAAAAGTGGGGCGCTCAGAAGGCTCTTCAATCCAGCACTCGCGCATGATGACATAGAGTGCATCGGGCGTTCCTGGTGGGCATGGCATTCGATAGCCGCGCTCCAGCTGAAGGGGGCGCAACGTGGTGATGCAAAAGACAGTCAGTGCTACGCATGCGTGGGGCAGGGTGGTAGCACTACGTTTTCTGATGCAAGTTCCCAGGCATTGGACTGCCATGTGCCAGACGAACCTGTTGCAGCACCTCCATGTTGGTCATGCCCGGGTACGGGATGCGACCATACGTCACCAGCTCGTACAGCAGGATGCCAAAGCTCCACCTACGGCAGATGAAGCGGAAAGGTCAAGCAAAGCGGGTGAGGTCGTGTGCTGACACCATATGAAGCCAGCATTGGGCGGGGGGTGGGGGACCTACACGTCAGACTTGATGGAAAATTTGCTCATGGTTGCAGCCTCGGGAGCTGAAAGTCGACGAGGCATGCGTGGAGCATCAAAAGCGGGTATTAGAACGGCGTGGCACAATGACGGCTGTGTCAGTTGCCACAGGGACTAGCAGATCGGGGTTGGTAAGACCAACCTGTCCACTTGATTGGGAACTTGGCTCCCTCACGTGCGGTATACTCGCTGTCAGCGGCCAAGATGCGCGAGAGGCCAAAGTCACCAACTTTGACCACATTGGACTGGCCCACGAGCACGTTGCGTGCGGCCAAATCCCGGTGTACAAAGTTTTGAGCTTCCAAGTAGGCCATACCGGCCGCCACTTGAGCGCCCATGTCCACCAGCAATGGCATACGCAAAGAGTGGCCATTTTCCTGAAGGTAGTCCAACAAGCTACCGTTGGCCATCTAAAAACGCCTCGCACGAGCACAAACAAGGGAAAAGCAGTTCAACTTGATCAGACAAAAAAAAAAAAAAAAAAAAAAAAAGGAAAACAATAGCGCAGCGTCTGTACATGTCCATGGCGGACAACTGCAAGCGCTCCAAGCATTTGGAAACAAACCAGTTCGGTGACGATGTAAATGGGTTCACCGTCGGTGCACACAGCATAGAGCTGAATTAGCTTGGGGTGCCGGAGACGCTTCATGACCGCTGCTTCGGCCAGAAACTCCTTCTCGCTCATGGTGCCCGGCTTGAGGGTTTTCACGGCCACTGCTGTCTTGTTGTTCCAGGTGCCTTGCCACACGTCACCGAATTGACCCGAGCCGAGGCGCTGTTGGAGTGCGATTGACGAGCGAGGAATTTCCCACTGCAACGACGCACGTCCCAAGCGCCCCAAACACATGAGTTGGCATTCAAAGGTCACTTTCTCTTTCATCATGCGCGCAAAAGCATCTCGAGCAATGAGGCCTCACTTCGTCCTTGGTAGAGGCTGACAGCCCCGCCGTGGTGGGTGAATCGAGCTTGCCACATGGACGCAACAGGGGCGCTGCCAGACCATCTGCATCTTGCCCATAGTGCTGCACCAGCTCAGGGAGCGAGTTGAAGGGCAGGCGCGTGACAATGTAGAAGCCTGCGATACCGGCGCAAGCCAAAGTGAGTGATCAGCGTTCTCACCGATGGCGAGAGGGGAAGAATAGGAGGAGTGACAATGAGGCGAGAGTGAGAGGTCGGTGGAAGGACCAACCCCCAGCATCTAGTTTGCGAATCCGGTAGTGCTTGATGTTGTCCCCGCTGCGTAAGCTCAGGGAATATTCTCCTGGCTGTGATTCACTGCTACGGATGAGGAAGCTACCATGTGACCCAATGGTCATGAGGGCCTTGTCGGCTTCAGCACGTTTGATTTGGCCGTGAAACCAGTCGTTGGAGTCCAGGCTCTATAGTTGGTCACGGGTCGGTGAGCAGGCTAGTACGCACGGGCCGCACAAATGCCAGATCAGATGTGGCCTACACGTGACCCACCTGGACTTTGGCCACAAAGTTGGAGGGGATGTAGCCGACTTGTCCTGTTGTCAAATGGCGAGCCTGCCACCAGTCGCCATCGCCGTCATCTGTCACTGCCATCTCGTCACCTTTGCGAAAGGAGAGGTCGTCATCAGTACGCGATTCATAATGATACAAAGCAACAACGACGTTGTCGGTCGGCGCCGGTGATGTGGGCAACGGCGGAAGTCTGAGCATCAGGACGGGACAAGGTTAATATGAGGTGCAAGCGCAGTGGGATGCCTTGCGGAATGCAGGGAGCGAGCCACGGTGCAAAGGAAACGAACGGTGGTCGGGCGGCGTGTGCCGTTTCCGTCGAAGTAGGGCGCGCAAAGGCCATCTGAGCATCCGCATTCACGGCAAGGTATTTTTGAACAGGCACAAGGGTCGTGGTGAGTGCAGCCTGACTGGAAAAAGAATTGGAAAAAATAAAAAGGGGCGGGGCCACACGGAGCAGACGGGCTTTTGTCAGCCTTGATCGCCGGATGGTTGTACCTACATCCTTGATGCTCAAATTTGGTGCATCGCCATGATTGTTGTTGCCAGATTCGCTGATGGGTTGGCTTTGCGCGCAGCCCATGATGCTCTGGTGTCACACCTCTCTCGAGGGTATGCAGTGTGCAGGGCAGCGTCCAGCCGGTGACCGACGAGCTCGGTCCACCGTGATGGCACGGCGTGCCGCTCGGAGCGAGGGCAGCGTCAGTCAGGCGTTGCTGATTGAACAAGTCTGCAACGCACCCAATCCCGTGTCTCACGTCGGCCTGGATGCGCTGGCACGGGGAGAAGCGTCGCGCGCCCGTGCCACCGCTTGAGACGTTCAACTTTTTGACTCAAGACCAGCGTATCACGACGAATGCCGAGTCAGACAGAGGAGAAGAACTTGAGACTCCCGACCCTCCAGTTGCAGCTCGTTCAAGGAACGTCTCCACCAGCCAGCCGAGGTGAAGCCGACGCCCAAGAACTCGGCAGAAACGTGCCAGCTGCCGTACACACCCGGACGACAGATCGTTGATGAGTTCGAGTGTGTGTGTGTGTGTGTGTGTGTGTGTGTGTGTGTGTGTGTGTGTGTGTGTGTGTGTGTGTGTGTCCAATTGGCGCTCCTTTCAAGTCTCCCCCAGTCTCCCAGTCCCCTCGTCTCCGCGTAAAACGAGTTGTTCACTGTCTTCGTGTTCTCAAGTCAACGTTGGTTGTGCTTGGGAGACGGTAAACACGTTTGCGTCAATTTGGCCTTGATCAGAATGTCCCGCTTCCGAGGAGCATGCGTCTGATGAACGCGTTCTGGCCTGATCTTGGGTGAGGCTGATGTCAGGGTCCTGGTCCTGCGTCTCTGCCTCTTTCCTCTTTCTGCGGCTTTGACTCGACTCGCGGAATTTGCGACTTGATGAGCCTACTGTACAAAGAAGGCATGGTGTCCGGCGGCGCGGGGCTCTTGTTCAAGATAATTACATCCCCAAGACCTTTGGACGCGCCAACATTGTCGCCCGTTTCAGACGAAATGCCGGCCAGACGGAATCGAGTCACGCTTTTCCCCAGCCGTCAGCACCCGCAAACAAAGAAACGGCTGAAGTTGCACCGTTCAGCTGTGGCCTGTTGTTGGCGACCTTGCAGAAGGCAGAAGACGGAGAGGCATTCACGGTTTACAGGATGTGTTTTTTTTTTGTGATCAGCATTGCGCAAAGGCCAAAGCGAGCATTGGTGGGCTGTGCAAACGAAGCGCTACGTGCACGTCAATGACCAGCGGCGGTCCAACCCTCAGGACCGGGGCTTGATGCAGTCGAAGACGAATTGGGGCAGACTCGTCATGCGTGTCTCTTTCATCTGACGGTGGGCATTGGGTTAGGGTTGGGGATCAACAGCAGAGGGGAGAGGACGGGGACAATGACTTGCATAGTAGAGGAGAAAGACAGCGCTCCTTTCTCCGCAGGATCTGGAGGAGTGACCAGCACCACAGGGGCAAGCGATAGAGCCCCAAGTCCCCCTGAGCTAAGGCACATGGACGAACATGAACAAACGCGTTGAGCCCCAAGGCAGTGGCAAGCACCAATGACGGCACGACATGGTATGCTTGGGGCGGGGCGTGGACCTAGTTTAGAGTTTGTCTGTATGGCAGGTCCCACGTGCGTCAGCCCGGTGCAACGCAGATCGAGACCGAGCCTGGGCTGTGTACACCAACACCCAACCGGAGCCTGGAGCACTACCACGCCACACGCCTGCGATCCATGAGAGAAGCAATAACAGATCAGGAAGAAAAGAGGACGCAAGGCAAAGGGGGAGGGAGAGCGTGTTTTGTGCTGTGAGTGAATTCCGTCCATGGCCGGCACATGCACTGGCGAAGCACATGCCAACCAGACAAACATTTTAATGGACAAAGGTTTGTCTGGGCTGACAGTCGTGAGAGATCGAGATGGACTCCAAACTTTTGCGTCGTAACATTGAGACTGTTCCTCCACAAAGCTACAAAACCAGTCACTGCCATTGCTGGCCTGAGCCCCAGCTTCTCTCAGCTGCTCGTCAGTCAGTCATTCAGTCAGTCATGAGCAGCCCTCACGAACGGATGACAAGGTGGAAGGGGGGACTTGGGGTTCACCGGGGGAGAGAGTTGTCAGCGCATCGCTGTGTGCGTTGTAGCGGACATCATGAAGTTGTGTGGGCCTGGCTTGCATATCTCACACCTGACCCGACCACCCATGGCGCACATCCACTCTGTGGGTAGCATCTGTAAAACCCAAACCACTTCGCAACCCCCATCACCAAACCAGTCTTGCAGCCAAACGGCAACGCACAAAGTCCTTAAACCACTGCATCAACTTCCCTTGCTGCCCACAGCTATTACTGCCGTCAGGCCCTTCATGGTTCTTCGTGTTCTTCGTTCTCGTCTGCAAGTCTCGGCCAGAACCCACAACACGCTTCTCCCGAACGCCGATATGTTCATAAACATACAACATACAAGAATCTGTTGACCCACCACAAAAGGCCCATGCTCCCTGACACTTTCTACCCCAGAGATGAAGAGATGTTGTGATCGGAAAAAACAATACACCCCTTGCCTTTTCCAGCCAAATCAGAGACAGCATCAAACCCGTGCTCGCCAACCAGAGCCACACCCAAGCCACCCAGCAGCCAAGCCCCCAACTGCGTCGTGTCAAGACCATCAATTCAAACCCATCCACATCTTCTTATAACCACAACTACTTCACTCACACTCACACACGCGCGCTCGCACACACAAAAAGAGCGCGCAATCCTTTTTTTTTTCCTATGATTCGGCATTTTCTCGAGCTGGCGCTCGCGCGTGTGCTCTCTCTCGCTCTCTCTCTGTGTGGCCTTGCTTTTGCTTTTGCTGTGCTTGGTACATTGTCTCAATCTTGGCTCCCGGAGACTCTTGATCGCGCTCACAGCCCTGCCACAGTTTTTCTATCATCGTCAGGTTTGTTACCCTCCCGTCCCCTCGCCCCCGTGCGCACACACACACCCCGCAGACATGGTTGGCGCCAACCTCATCATCAAGTTCTCTCAAACTGGCTCTCTCTCACATCTCTCCCTCCTCTCTCTCTCTCTTTTATGTCACCTGCGTAGAACCTCCCCCGAACCCCAAACGGCCTCTCCCAACCGGTTTGCCTTTGACCGAAAAGAAACCTTTTGATCCCCCAGGCAACCCTGCCCTTCTTCTTGTCTTCTTCTTCTTCTTCTTCTTCTGCTTCTCTCCCTGCTTCCCGACCGTGGGAAACAGGTAGCGAATCATGATGATGGAGGCGACACTTTCTTCTTCCCAGCTGGTGTCACCCACCTTCACCGCTGCCACCAAGCAGTCCAGCCCTGCTTCATCCTACTCGAGCATCAAGTCTCGGCTGAGCAAGAGCAGAAGCAGCCGCACCCCTTCGACCCCGCCTGCCAGCGACAGTCCCAAGCCAGCCACCTCAAGCTCTCTTTCAGTCATCAATCGAATTGCGGCGACGATGCGCCCCCGAGCCTACTCGGATTCAACTGCTATGCGCAAGCGCCACAACCAAGACAAGCAGCAGCAACAACAGAGCCAAGACCAATTGCAGAGCCAGGCCCTGTCCCAAAAGCTTAGCAGCCTCCCACGCACCTCCTCCTTGCGCGAGAGCATGCCCCGGACCGCCTCCAAAGGCCCCGTCAAACGCCTCACCAAACGCGTCACCTCCCTCTTCACCCGCTCCAACTCATCCTCGGCGCTCCCCCAAATGGAACAATCCAGCGAGCTGCGCTGCCAAGCCCACCGGTCCGAGAGCAACCCCAGCCTCATCAACAACTGCGCCATTTGCAAGGCCATCGTGGTCGACAGTCTCTGTGCCAGCGCCGAAGCCATGTCCAGCTCCGACCAAAACACCCCCCGCTCAGCCCCCAAATTCATGTCCTCCCTCCGCCGCGGCAACAACCCCTTCCGACGCCACCGCCGCCTCTCCGCTAATCTCGTGGCCCAGAGTGTCCAGCTTGAAGCCCGCCTCGACACTCGCCCCTCCCCAGAAGCCGCTGCCTCCTCGGTTGGATTTGTTCAAACCAGTGATGCTCAACCAGCCCGCAAGCGTCGCGACTCCCTTGAAGTCCTTCGTGAACGCCGTGCCCGTCTTCAAGACAAGATTGATGCCGATCCTCAAGACCACAAGCTCGACATTCGCATTGCCCTGCGCGTACGTCACACCGCAGCTTGGTTGACCATTGCCCCCTTACCCACTCACTAGCTTTTTTTTTTTCCTCCCCACACCCCTCACCTTCACCCTCCTGCTCGTCTTCACAACAGCGTAAGCTTTCTTTGCGTTCAGATTCAGAGGCGCTCACTCAGCGCAACATTCTTCATGGTACGACCCGACTCCTGGCCCCTTCCCCCCTCCCATGTGGTCGCGCGTGCCCGACTCCTTGAGGCTACCAATTTCTTTCGCTGGATCTGATCCTCTGCTGGTCATCCCCTCCCGTGCTATACCTACAGCCGAATCAAACTCTGAGCGTGCCCAGCGCCGTAGTGAGATCGAGGAAAGCTTGACGGAGCAGGTGCGCCGCATTTCCTGCTTGCTCCCCCCTCGTCCTATCGTCACCGCGTCAACCCCAGAGTCTGGGCATTCCAATTTCTTATTCGATTCTTTCCACGTTACGCTTTTGCTGTCTCTGAATTTTTTAGTTGAGCCGCCGTGCTTCGGTCGATTTGCTCAAGGCAAACCGCATCCTCCAGTGAGTTGTGTTTCTTGACCCACCGCACTTGCTGTCTGGCCCAGAACTGCATTGCCATTGTCCATCTCCCTCTCACATCAAAACCTGTGTGCTTGCGTGCTCTTTTCTGTCACAGCTTTGAGGCATACACCGACGTCTCCTTGACCTGGGGCTGCGATCTGTATGATCGCAAGTCTGATAAGCCCTGGACTCGTCTCACGGGCCAAGACAAGATTCGCATTCGCGCCGAGCTCAACGACTACAAGCTCACCGAGATGATGGTGCACCCTGACAGCGCCCACATGACGCGGTTCCACTAAGCGGGGTCAGCCCACAATCTGCAGTCTCTCTCGGCTTCAGCAGTTTCTCTGGGCTCTTCCTTTCTCCTGGCTTCGAATCACTGCGTGATCAAAGCCTCTGCGCTGTCTTCGCGCTTGGGTCGCAACTCGTGCATGAGAAAGTGCAAATAGGACATGCCCTCAGCAAACTTGTTTTTATAGCGCCCGTGTTGGTCACGGTCGTATTTTTGTCGTCCTTCGTGTTCTTGCTTAACAGATTTTTTTTTCCGCAACACTATTTGCATGCTTTGATTTTTTTTTGCCTCATTCGCTTTTGCACAGAGTCAAGACACATTGGCGCACACGGCGCTCCGTGCTCAGCTCTGTGCAATTCGCTTGAGTTTTGATTGATATTGACTATTTTCTCCTTGTTGCTTCTTGTATGCCTTTGATGATGATCTGAGCTGGTCCTGGTCGTCTCTTGAATGCTCGTTCTTGCTGGTTGTATGATCTGGTCGTGTTTCAGTGCAACCTCCAACCGCCATACCACACACTAATTAATGACAAATTCTCTTTAAGCATGAAACGATGCGCCAATCGTCAAACACTCAAGCGCGCCGTCGCGCATCGTCACTTGCCAGCGTTGACACCATCACACAATGGCAAAGGTTACATCACCAAATGGAATATCATAATAATATTAGCTGAATGGCAATTATCAATCGGAAAGGACACGACAACTCTACTGCAGCCGATTGGCAACCAACTGCAGCACCTGCAAATGTCAAGCCTGGCTTGCACACGCGCATATACACATGCTCTTTATTGGAAGCAGGTAAGCACAAGGCTCTGGATAAAATAAAAACAAGGACATCCACATTTATAAACACACAACAAGTCGTTGCACATAAAAATAAAATTAGTATCTGAACAGGAAATCACAGTATTCAAACATCAGTCTGCGGCTCAAACCGCACACCCCGGCCGTTCTGGATCAGCCGGGCTACCAAGACACGAGGCGCTGAGCATGAGGCCTGCTCTCGCGCCGTGGCAACGCCTGGTGTCAGATGATGGACGGCCACGTTGGCCGGCGGTTGGCGCTGTGCTTGGTTGAGATCGCGGAGCGCCTGCGCTGCCGTAAACACGTAGTCTCGAGGCCCGGCCACTGGCAATGGCTTGCATGCTGTGCATGCAGGGTCCGCTGCCGTGTCAGACTGGCGATGCGTAGTCGAGTGGTGGTCAAAGGAGCGGGCCCGGTCTCGTCCACCCTCGGGCGAACGCGCACGCATCATCTCCAAAGGTCCGGAGCGAAATGGAAGCGGGTCGATTGGACTGCTCAACATGGAGTGAACGTCTGGTGAGATGCTCGTTCCTGACTTGTTCCCAGGGCTATCTCCGGACGTGGTGGGCCGGCGCCGGGTGGCCGGTCGGCGCTGAAGCTTGCGGTTGACCAACGGGCGGGTGCAGATTTGATCGTCGCTCTCGTCGGTTGAGTCTTGCAGCGAATTGTGGCCGCGACCGCCCCGCATCTTCTGGTAGGACGCCGTGTCCGCAGCCTTGTTGAAAGGCGGTGGCCCCAGAGACGGAACCGCACCCGCGTTGCTGTACAGGACGCCCTCAGCCATGCCTTCCACGTCTTCATCATCAACGTCATGCATCGGGCTACTCTGAGTGCATGTATCATAGCCGACCCACGACTGATCGATGTCAGACCGGGTAGGCGGGCCGTTGCTCGGCTGCTTGATTCCTGTGGCGGTTGCACATTCGACCCAATCGTCCGCGCCGTCCAACGTGTTGGGGTCCAGATCCTCGCTATCGACTTCAATGTACCCGTCTGATGACCTCTCCTCCGCGATGTCCATGGCGGCATCTTGCGCAAAGGGTACATGGGCTGAGAGAGACTCTTGCAGGGTGGACGACGTGCGCGAGCGACGGCGCACGCTCTCGAGGCTGGCACTGGACATCTTGCGCGAGCAGGGCTCGTCATCCGAGTAGAGTTCGTTCATGCTGTGGCTCAGGCTGAGGCGCGAGCTGACTAAATCGATCGCCGGCGATGATGGCCGTGGCGATCCTTCCTGGCTGTCAATGTTGTCATAGCGCTGCGACATGCGTAATGACGCACGGCCCAGCGACAAGGCCCGTTCAAACATCACGGTACTGCGGCGGCTGCGGTCACTATGTAGGACGGTAGATCGCCTGGGCCGCGCAGTACTAGTCGACTCGGCGTCGCTATACACAATGCCCTCGCATGAATCACTTCGAGGCATGTCCTTGGCAGCAAGCATGGCATGCCATGCCGCGCGCGACATGCTGGGGGAGGCAGCTTCAGTACCCCGCGACATGTTGGGGCTTCGCTCAAAGCTGGATTCGTCATCGATCATGTCCGCTGGCCACGCCACAGGACCGACGTTTAGCATTGGTACGGGTACCGGTGCTTTGTAGCCCTCGAGTGCTTGGGCCGCAATGTCCTCCTCATCGTCATCCTCATCGTCCTCCTCATCACTGGCCTCGTAGGTGTTGTCAACGTGCTCATCTGCATCGGGTTCCAAGACGCTGTCGCTCGTAGTCGGGTGGTTGTTGGGCATGGTCGTCGTTCCTCCTATCCGATCGACGAGGGGCATACCATCGCTTGTCGGGTTGGATTGTGCAGTCTGTTGGGGCTCAGCACGGCCTGACTTGTCATCATAATCAGGAAGTTGGTGCCAGGTGTTGGTCAAGGAGCCTTCACGTTGCAACGATGATGATGAGATGCGCGATAAAGTCGCCAGTATGGGAGAGCGCGAGCAGTGTCCCGATGAACTGCCAGGACCAGGGGAAATGCGAGTCAAAGGGTGCCGTGCTTCATGTACGGCCTCGTCTTCGTCCAGACGCTCCTCCGACCAGGTCTGGGGAGGCAGGGCTGGGAGTACAGATGGGCCTCGCAGAATATATGGCTGAGCGGAGACAGCCCGTTGGTCAAAAGGCACCGCATCCAGTCCGGGACCCAGGTCGAACGAGCTATTGCGACTCCGTGGCCCTGAGTTTCGACGGCCACTGCGATGGGGCACACGTGCGGTGAGGTGACACACAAACCTCAAACAAAACGTGGACGAGTCACTTTCGCGTCTGTTACAAAGCAGAGCAAGTCACCGGCTAGCACACAAGGTCTCTCTCCACTTCTCTTCAAATAACCCTGATGCAAAGATTTACCCGGCAAGGCGAGGCCGTGCGGTCGTTGGTGATGGTTGGCGCACGTGTAAACGGAGGGTGTCTAAGCTCGACAAATCACGGTCAGGAGGCCCGCATCGCGTGCTCAAGTTGCGGTTGCAACTTGAAGGCAATGAGAGATGGCGGGGGGGGGAGTGTTAAATGCATGTTGCACGACGTACCGTTGCGCCCACGAGTTGCAACAAGAGGACGAGACGCACGGCGACTGCGCACCGATGAGCGGTTGGATGCGTTGCGACCCGCCGAGGATTGGCGTGACTGCAACCGGCTGGGCGGCGTCAGAGGCTCTGGTAGCCAGCCCGGAATTCCCACTGGATTGAGGCGCCCATGGAGCAGACGATACAGCAAGCGCTTCAACTCCAAAGCGCGGATCGAGTTGGCAGGGCCTGACAGCTCAGCATAGCGCAAAATCAGATCAACCTGCAGCGTCAATGTGCAAAGGGGCAGGGTGCAAGCACAACAGCACAGCGTGAATGGGTTTGTGACACCTTTGGAGTCAAAGTTGTAAGTTTTACCAAAGGCCATGAACCCGGCAGCGTACCTCGCTGCTTCGAAAGCGACCCGAGGTAATCATGGAGCGCCGCAATGTTTCAAGTGGGATGTAGCCCAAACCATCGGGGTCCAGCTCGTCTATTAGGCCCTGCATCTCAACTTCAACGTTGTCATCCAAGTAGTTTTGCACAAAACCCTGCATATCTTCCAAACGATTTGCCGTAAACGCTTCAACTGCCAAAGGGTCATATTGACCGTGCTTTTGCATCACGTCGAGCTGGGCATTGAGTGAGTCCACAAGCTTGCGTGCGTTGCGCCGCAGAAGGCCGAGCTCGTCCGACTCGCCGGTGCTGGCGGCCGATGATGACAGCTGACCCGTAGAGTGGTGCGAATGGGCAGCCGAATGTCGGCGCCGTGTGTCTATGTCATCGGCTGGTGTCCATCGCAATACATTCTCGGCCATGGAAGAATTTTGAAATTGCTGCCAGTGCGGGCTGGCGTTGAGTGACGCGTTTGTTTGGCTGGCCATCAATGCATCGTTGGTCTCATCATCCATGTGATAGATAAGCTCGCGCATGTTCTCGCTGCCCACGTTGGAGGCCATGTCAACACGAGAGCCGTTCTCAGAACGACGGTTGTCATCCGGGGTGCTGGTCCCGGGCTGAAAGTCCTCTCGAAGATGTTCGAGAGCAGACAAATCGTATGAGCTGCGGCAGCTCGCACGATCATCTAAGGAGCTTGGTCGCCGGGCTGTTCCGCGCAGTAAAAGCTCTGAAATGGTTTCCTCTTCGTGATGAGCAAACGCCGAGGAGCGCCGCAAGCGTGATTCGCGCCCGAGATTGCCGTCGCGTGCGCCCGAGGGGATTGGCATGCCGTTGATACCAAAGGGTGGCGGCGCTGACAGACTGTGACGCCGATGTGCCAAGGTGCTAGTTGAAGGCGGGGACGAGGCGTGGCCGGGGTATGGATACAAGCTTGTGGCCGTGGAGGGCCGATAGCTTTCCTCATCGGACAAATCCTCAGATGCCGTCGTGTATAAGGACAGTGGTCGCGGGAAACGAACGGCCTGTGCGTAACTGGAATTGCGAGCGAGCTCTATTTCTACGTGCTGAATCGAATGCAAGCGAGGCGAGCCAGCGTCTACCGTCGTGCTGTTGTTGCGCAGTAACCGGCTGCACTGGTTGCGAAAGTCGCGAGCATCGGCGGTGAACGGGCGAGGTGGTGCTGACATGGGACGGGGCAGGGGTTTGGGAATGGGTTCCAGCTCCGGCTCAGGTTCGAGCTCAGGAACCTGTTGTGGCGACGCTTGTATCTCATCATCTTCCCATTCTGAGTCTTCGATGCTGCGGCTTGACCGCGAAGATGAGCGCTTGATGCGGCGAGCACGTGCAACTGCACGATAGCTTCTACAGGTGCCGAACCAAAAGTTTGGCGTGAGACACACGGGGGCTGATGCAGTGTCTGATGCGGTGTCTGATGCGGTGTCTGGTACAAGTGGCGCAGCTACATACTGCGCTCGCTGTGCTAGATTGGACACTGATGCCGCGCGACCAGGACGCTCGATGCCGGGGCTCACGTCTGGCACGTTTTGACAGCCGCGGGGCCCGAGAAGAATGAAGCGCGAGCGAATAGTGTGAGTGGAGATGAGCTGACGACGCCGTTCTGACAAATTCTTGACTCGGCGCTATGATAATGCGCGGCAGGAAGGCAGGCGCCGGTGAGAAGTGGTGGCACAGGAAAAGGGAAAGCACTCAGTAGTGACACTGCTTTATAACAACCGAAAGCACACATGAACACTGGGTCTCTGCATACCACAGTGATGCCGAGTGGAGACGTGGGGGTGGGCACGCGCTCGGGCTCTTGGGGACTGATGGATCGGGGTGCACCCAGGCCTAGAGTGCGCCGAAGGCCCTGTCGCGGCGAGGTAGGGCGGGCGCGTGCCAGCGTCTGCTGAAACTCATCGCATAGGTCAGCGGCACTGGTTTGTCGGCGCTGCGCACAGGTGGAGGCGGCTGCAGTCAGTGAAGTGGCTAGCTTGCGAAACTGAGTAGCTCGGCGGTGTTTTTCTTGCAGGAAGCGACGGATCTTGGCCGTTGAATCGGGGTCAATATCAAGGCTCGTTGGCGAGGCAGCCGCAGGTTGGACTTCGGGCGAAGCAGTGCGCTGAATGAGGGATGCTGTTGAGCTCGAGGCTGTCAGCACGAGCTGCTTGAAGAGTCGGGTCGAGCGACGCTTCAACAGTGGGTGTGGCGAGGGTTTATACTCATGAACGGGGCGGGCAGGGTCTGAGACAGCGCGCTGGCGTAGTCGGTGAGTTTTTTTCCGCGACACCCCGCCTTTGGTCGCTTTGGGAAGGGCGTTGGAGTCTACATCCCGGTTGGAGTCCATGTCAAGTTCAAGATCCACATCCAGGTCCTCCCAGGCCGACGAATCGGTTGAATTACTTCCACGTTTGCTGTTAGGAATTGGTTTTTGTGCCATGAGTAGATCCCATGGATGGTCATCTATCGAAACCAAAGGTGTCGACCGCGCTTCATGGCGTCTTTGGACGGGCTGGGGAGACCTCTGCATGACCGGACGTTTGGTTTGTGCCGGTGCATCCGGCGTGGGTAGCGTATCTTTGTCTTGCTCCCGCTCTGTGGCGATTGGATGGGCAAATGCAGGCAGAACGTGAGAACCAGCGTTGAACAGGATGGGGCAAAGGACAAGGGTCAGTGAGCAAAAGTGCCTACCGTCGTCAGAGCCTGGAGGAGCCACGCCCTGGTTCGGGGCAACGGGATGGCGAGACACGGGGGCAGACTCGGTCTGGTACTCGCACAACACTTCCAGGGTATGCAGGTTGGGTTTGGACGGGGACGTGCCGGCTCGCGCACGGCCGCGGGATCGCGGTCGCGTTGAGTCTTCGCCATGGACGATTGGCGTGGCTATGGACGAGGTTGCAGATGGCCGGCGGCTTGACACGCGAGAGTCACCAAACCCAGACTCGGCATCACTTTGTGAGGTATCTACCAGAATGAGGGTCGGGGGCGGGCGTTTAGCGTGAGGTGGGCTGGTAAGGGAGTCAAACGCGAGGTCAGGCATATCGAGCGAGGGGCGAAGCAAGGCTTGGTTGACTGACCATGAAGTGCGGGCGTGCAGCCATCCGACTGCTGGGTGCAACGGTCCACTACAGTGTCAACAACAACAACAACAACAAAAAAAATTGCGGCGAGCAAGCGACGTCAAGGTTACGGCCGCGGTTGAGCGCTCTTGAAAGGGCGGCGCGTTGGTGTGCACCACGGGAAGGAAAAAAGGGGGAGGGGATGAACATTGGGACAAGATGACTGACTGTGTGGCGACACGGGGGCGCTCGATGATTTCTGATAGCCTTTGAAGCCCAGGGCTTTGGCGCAAGGGAATCCGGTGCAACCCAGAGCGTCGCGTCGGGCTCGGCGTAAATCAGTGTGCTCAAAGGGGAAGGACAGTCGCCGGTGCTGGGGTAGATGCCGCTTTGCTGTGTGCCTCAACAAGGGCGCTGGGCCGTCAGAGAAGCTGCTGCGGCCCGAGTCAGCGACAAAGGTGGGGCAAGACGAGTTTCGGCGAAGTCTGGTGTCGGATGCGACGGGGGCACGTTTGTTTGTCCGGATCCCCAACGAAGGCTCTAGGTCGAACGAGTTTTGTGAATGCCGATAGTGGTTCAGGGTGACGGGCCGCGGGCGCTCGGACCGATGGTGACGAGTGCAAAGGGGTGAACCATGCGCCTCAGGATCGGAGTTGGGCGAGCCTTTGGCCATTGGATCGCGTTCTGGTTTCCTCAGTCAAAGGGTATGCATGAGCTGCCGTGGCGAGATTGAAGTGCTGAACGAGAAGCGCTCAAAGCAGCCGGCCCCGTGTGGATACTCGATTCAAGCGAGCGTCGCAGGGGTGGCGGTGCGCGCCCAGGGGGTGGTGAGGCGCGAGGAAAAGGCAGTCCGATATGCTTTTTTTTCTGTGTGAACAAAAGGCAATTTCGTTTGTCCGACGATGGTCACCGCCCCGGTGGCTACCGATCAAGAGTGCGGGCAAAAGGGCGTGCGTTTGTGCCTCGAACCTGGTGAATGGGTCGACCTGAGCTGAAGACGCTCGATGGAAAGAGAGAAGACACAAACGGGAGGAACGGCAGCAGCCGGCAAGAGTTGGCGGACGACAAGGGCCAGTTCTAGCTTGGCGCAAATGAGGCAGGGGGGGAAGGCTATGCATTCAAGCGGAGGCAAAGGGTTGGCTCGAGATTGACGGACAGCGACAACGACAATGATGATGGAGTTGGGGATTCGAGGGAGGCGAGGTGGGATTCAAGGAAGGGGCGGAGGGGGAAGGGAGGGTGGTCGGGGAGACCTCATTGCCCATGAGCGAAGAGCTCTGAGCGAAAGGGGGTAGGGTGGTACTTGTTGTTGTGGGCAGTTTGTGATCTGGGTCGGGGCATCAGTGGTGCGTGAGCATAGTTTGTTGGACCACCACTACCTGCGCGGCCTGACGAAAGCGGTTCGGGAGTGGGTAGGAGTGGTTCGAGCGGACATCCATGATGGAGCGTACGACGTAGAGAGGGACCGACGTGGGATGTTGTATGTTGGGTGGTTGGTGAGCAGGTCTTTGTCAAAGCGACCAGCGACAGCGGACAGGTGGCTTTTGGTATGCGTGATGTGATGCCGCATACCGACCGCCCTTGGGCCTGGCTGCAAGCTGAAGGTGTCAACGGCAGCGGTAAGCCCTCCCATCCCCACGCTGCCATGTCATCCCATGATCTGAGCAAGCATGCAAGCTTTTGATGAAGGACAGTGTGTGTGTGTGTGTGTGTGTGTGTGTGTGTGTGTGTGTGTGTGTGTGTGTGTGTGTGTGTGTGTGTGTGTGTGTGTGTGTGTGGCGAGTCGGTGGGAAGCCCGCGGTGCACTCGGCTTGTCGTGGCCACACTGTGCTTTGTCAGGGGATGAACGCCAGCTGCTGCTCGTAGCGGATGTGTTGTAAAACCTACTCCTCCATTTGCGACCTGACATGTGGAGCTGAATTCTCATAGGCAGGCCTCGACGTGGCCGTCGCACTTGCAAGGATGGTAGTTGTAGTAGAAAGCGTTTGTGGCTGCTTTGCTTCTTCCTTTCTCCTTTCACATGCGACGCGACGTATGGGAGGCGGATGTCCAGCGTCGTGCCGGTGCCTTGCAGATCTAAGCTGTCACGCTTTGCTAGGGCTTGTCCTGTGTGCATAAGATTAGCGGGCAGCTCGATGCGACGAGCAAAGACGATGCGCCGCCAGGTCAGCGAGTTTGCCATCCATAGATAACCAGTAAAGAGTAAATGCTAATACTCATATTTAACAGGACTTTTATCATGCAGACCGAGTTACACGTCCAGAGGGCACCAGATTTGGCTCCAAAGAGCAATGGCCCCACTTGTCGCGACGGAGCGAGAGAGCCGCGCCGGGCCAACAGAAAACTTTGATGAGACATTCAATTCGTCAATCACAACATTGAGGAAAAAAAAAAAGATCCTAGTGCGCCCAGCTGCCTGCGGCAAGCCGCGATTGTTATCAAGACTGCTCACAATTGAAGCGGCGGTCCTCGTGGTTCCCACAGCTTAGCAGGCTCGGGGTAGGGGACGCTCATGTACACTTCTGGCTGGCACCTCTTGTCGATAGTGATTCAGTTCAAGGGGCATCGAGCAGAACCTCACGAACGCGAAAGTCCTGAAGTTGCGTGATCCTGGTATTGGGGTCGGACGTGTCGCCATCTATGGGATAGTTGAAGATGAATCCAATCCGAAAGCGTGTCGTTCCAAGTCGAAAGGCATTCCAACGGCTCGGGTCAACTATGCGGGAGACCTGGGACGTCATGGTCTTGGTGCGCTCGCCAAAGCCAGGGTAAAACCAGCCGATGGGGTACACAAACGAAGGGCCAAGACTATGGACAAAGGCGGTGACGGGTCCATTTTGACTCGTCACAGCAGCTACCACAGCGGGAGGCACGCTCACATTCAGCCACAATTCGCTGCCTTCAGGTCGGAGCTCTTGACCCAGCAGTGGTGCACCAAGCACTTCAAAGGGCAAACCGGTCGCGTTGTAGTAGAAGCCTATATACACCATCGAATCGAGGGACAGAGACCATGCAGACGGATTTCCGGTGGCGCTAAGGTCAAGGAGAAGCGTGTCCGAGCTGGCCTGCGTCACCACGGCTGCTGTCTTCGGTATGCGAAACGCCATCCGGTTGGTGATCTGCCGCTCGCCAGCCCAACAATCGATGGCCACGTAGAAGCGACCCGAGGGATTGCCGAGCGTAATGGTAGCATCAAACTCGAGGGCCGTGGTCCCATCGCTTAGAGAGGCGCTCAGAGGAAAGAACGTGCGACTCCACACGATATGAAAGCCTTGGACAACGGTGCCGTGAATCGAGAGATGACGGTAGGGGTCCAACTCCTGGCCATAACGGGTAGTGTTGGCCTGCAGCAGGATCAGCTCGGCCGTCAAGTCCATATCATTGACATACACCTGCTCTGGTAGGCGCAGGTGGCCCTCATCATCGGCTACAATGTAGCTCTCAGCCAGCGGCTCGGCCTCACCGGCGCCAGCTCGCAACGAAGCTCGCAGCAGCAGTAGCAGCAGCAGCAGCAAGGCCGTGCCAGCAGAGCCCGGCCAATGCCTCTGGCGCAAGGGATCCCCCACCATCCTCAAACGTTTCCCCAAAGGCGAATGCAAGCACCCAGTCACGACGTGGCACACATGTTGCTGCCCTGATCCCGCACGGCGATGCGAAGAAGAAATTGTTGTGCGTTGCCACCGTGCGTTTCTCTAACTTATGCCCTCAGCATCGGTTCATCTCTGAATTTGCTTCATTTTCTCACTATGCCAAATCGGAGAGGGATAAATGCTCTGAAACTGTTGTCTTGCTGCTCGTAATCTCTTCTTTCTTGCTCTTCGTGTGACTGAGGCGGTGTGTCGAGGGCGAATCTCAGGGGAGGGGTGCGTTGGACGGGTGAACACGAGTACCGAACGGCGAGCACCAGCAAGATGATGATGGAAGATGATGGTGATCGGGTGCTGGGCGGGGGTGGCGTCATCATGGACGAGCCGCCGTCCAACGCGCGTCGGTGAGTGTGTGTGTGTGATCGCATGCGCTTCAAGTGCACAAGAACCTTTCGCGCCCGCCTGCGCCCCTCGTGCAATGGGCTGGCATGGGGACGCAGAGAAGTGTGTGTGTGTGTGTGTGTGTGTGTGTGCGCTGTTTATCACAATGGTGGTCGCATCTTTGCTGGACCGCTTGCTTGTAGTCGGGCAGACCAGCACCTGCGTAAGCATGGCGTGCAGCCACAGCGGGCGGTTCGCTTTGAACGCCAGCAGCACGAGCCACTGCCCAAGCTGTACCGTGTATATTTGGGCGTGGTCAAATCGGTCAAGCCCTTTGGTGGCTTTGTCGAACTCGACGGCTTCACCCACGAAGGTGTGTCCAGCCAGCCAAGCTGTCGCAGCGACGGTTTGCTCGTTCCACGATACTTGGCGCGTGTCGGCACCTCTTGCCTCACCACACCTGCGTGCGGTCATCTGGTTCATTGTGCCGCGGCCCATCACTAGGGTTGCTACACGTGTCTCAACTGTCCAAGTTTCGAGTGGACGATGTGGAGTCAGTTCTGCAGGTTGGCCAGCAGGTCTTTGTCAAGGTATGGAATGGAACGCCCCGAGGCCCACGACAAGCTTGCTTGAATGGGCCACAATGGGACTGACTGCCTGAGATGTCATGTGGGTCTGGTCACTTTTAGGTGATTGAGGTCGGAGAGCCCCCTGAACATCGGATCGCTTTAAGTATCAAGACCGTGGATCAACGCAACGGCCACGATAGTGACCCGGCCCATGTCATTGCTGAACAGGACAAGCTCAAGAACCGTAGCTTTCGTGATGATGAGGTCAAGCGCGTGCAGCTTGATGCAGTCCTCAACACCGTCTGCACCAAATGTCATACCCCAGGGCACCTGGCCAAGGACTGCTTCAATACCGGCAAAGCCTACGCGCTAGTCACAGAGGACGAGGTAGCCAACGTTGCACCACCAGCGTCAAGCGAAGGACATGCCAAAAAGCACAAGAAAGACAAGCACAAAAAGGACAAGAAGGAGAGTCGGCACAAGAAGCACCACTCCAAGGATCACGACGCACATGAACCGCGTGACACTGACCACCACCATCATCACCACCACCATCATTCTCATCACCGCCATCGTGACTCCAGCCGGGACCATCATGACCACGGCAGTCACGACCAGGACCGAGAGCACCGTGATGATCGGGACAGAGGACATCGCGATGATCGGGACAGAGGGCATCGCGATGATCGGGACCGAGGGCACCGGGATGATTGGGACCGAGGGCACCGGGATGATCGGGACCGAGGGCACCGGGATGATCGGGACCGAGGGCACCGCAATGACGACCGAGGCCGTGAGTATCGCAGCCATCGTGCAGGACACGAGGCGCCGCACTCATATCATCGCAGCCCCAGCCTTGACCGGGGGTCTCGCTCCAAGCGCTCTGATCGTGACCGAGACGAGCGGCGATAGGCCACCGACTTGACCCAAAGCTCACATGTATGCAGAGTATCGACAGAGTAGCTTGCCATCCCTTTGGTGTTCCTTTCTTCCTTGTGCGTGTGCAGCCAAAGGCTTGATTTTGTGTGTGAGCAAAACATATGAACCACAGAGACGGGATAATTGGATCGATTTACGCTTCTCTAACTCAGGCATGCTCAAAGCACCAGTTGCCGAAACAACATCACATTCAATGTGCATGGGAAGCCCGCAACAAGCGATACACACAGGGAAGGCAGGAAGGAGCACGGGGTAGGTATTGGGCGCTTTCATGCTCAATGGGGTTGGCCAGTAACGGGAATTGGAAGCATTTTCGGTGTCTAACCCACGTGTGCTCCAAGGGCGACGCCTGTGATAGGATGACAGGGTAGCTGGGCGGTCGAGTGGGATGCGACTCAACCAAAGATTGAGGGGTAGCGGTCTGCGAGATAGCGGGCCGTGCGCGGAGTGATGCTTGCCGTCAACGCCAAGCGCACAGGCGTCACGAGCTACGGGGAAGATGGAGAGCACATTGTCAAAATCAGATACGTGAGGACGGCAACGGGACAGGATCAAGGGGATGTGGGTTGAGAGCTGCCACCCGCTTGGCTCACGGCTTTGGTTCAAGTGCAGGGGGGGCGGGGAACGCAAAAGTGGGCCACCACCAACCTTATGAATGGTGTAAGCACCCACGAGAGCCCCCATGTTGGGAGTCAGGTATTCCTGGTAGTTGAGGCCTGCCATGGAGAAAACGGTGTGCAGCAAGGGCTCCACATCGACACCCGCTTGAATGGCAACGTAGTAAATGCTGATGTCAATCGTGCCCATGATAAAGTAGACACCTGCGGCCACCTTGCCATACTTGCGGAAGAGCTCGGTCATCGTCCTGGGCTTTTCATGATTCTCCGTGCCGCCTGCCGGGGCGGTGCCGGCGAGAGGCTCACGGTCCTTGGGAACAGCCCGCTTCGAGGAAGCAGAGGTGGAGGAGTTGGCGGCGTCGTCGTTGCCATTGGCCCCTGCGGATGAACCGGCGGCTCGAGTGTTGGTGGGCGTGCCCTTGTTATCGGTTGCCGACGCATGGCCACTGAAAGTGGTTTGAGGGGCACTGAGGCTGGCAGCAGGCGTGAGGTGGCGAACCCATGAGGCTGCTGGGCTGGTCGCAGCGAATCGTGTCAGGCGGTGAGGTTCGTGCCACAGCGTCATGGTGCGCAGACTGGCGTGATGCAAGGCGGGCGCAAAACCGGCCCAGGCGCGCTGCGTTGGCACCAGACGACAGGTATGCGCTGTCTCCGACAGGATCGACCCAACCATCGGGCGCAGGGTGGCTATCCGAGCAGCCATGCTGCCTGGTGGTTGATGGCGGTGCCTGCTTCGTCCAACCCTAATCTCCCCACTCGCTGGACCAGCCAACCACAACTCCAACCGTGGCTAGCCGATTCGCTTCAGTCTCCTCACGGCCAAGCTCCAGGCGCACTCGCAAACGAGACACACACACCCCCGCGACAGACGCAGCGAGAGAGAGAGTGAGAGAGAGAGAGAGAGAGAGAGAGAGAGAGAGAGAGAGAGAGAGAGAGCTGAGAGTGAGAGAGAGCACAATGCCGCGTGTGTGAGTGTGTGTCACACAACGGTCTCGTGTGTAACACAACACACACAGAGAGAAACGAGCTTGAGGAAGCTATTAAGGTTAAAATGCTTAAAAATTCACATGTGTGGTAGATGAAGCGTGCAAGTGTGGTATGAGAAAGGCAAATAGTTGTATATGGGGGGATATGTGTGTGGTGTGGCGGGAATGGAGGTGTGGTCAAGTGGGGCATGCAAGAGTGGGTGAAACAGTGGGCAGCAGGGTGATGTGGCATCACGGGCACATTGCTTGGGCAGGCTGTCGGATGGCTCTGGATTTTTTGCGGATGGGGTTCAAGCTGGTCGTGGCAAGAGTGGCTGAGCATCAGCGGCTTTGAGAGCAGTGGTTGGCTCGATGGGGAGGGGCTGTTGAGCGTGGGAAAGAGTAAAGCGCATGGATTGATAGAAACAAAGCAAAGAAAAAGCACAGGCAGAAGCACGTTGGAGGCAGCCAGTAGCCAAGCGAACATAAATCAACAAGAAGCAGCCATCGACCCGATTGAAGGGTGGCAGAGCAAAACGACGGCTTTACTTCGACTTGCTTGCCTTCCAGTTCTTGATGTCCCGTTCGGCATTGTCGTAGATGCTCTTGGACAGATCTGGCCGTCAAGAGGTTGGTGGCGGTGGCGGCAGTGGTGGTGGTGAGTGCAAGCGCGAAACAACAAACTGGGGTAACCGGGGCGAGTGGCACCAACCGGGACGGTAACCAAACATGAACATGATCTCCAGGAGCACAAAGAGAGGGGCCAGGTAGAGAGACTGAAACAGGTTGTCAAAAAGCGCGGGAGCACGGCCCTCAAACACAAAGTGGCCGAAAAATTGCATGGCCCAGCTGTGGCAGCCGTGTTCAAGCATGAGCATCCAACACAAGGAGCAGAATACTGGGGCATGAATGGGCACCAGAAGCTGGCGTATGGGTGGCTCAACTCAACTTACCAGCTCGCATGGAGAGCGCCGAGCTTGATCATGGCGTTGGGTTCCGTGGTGGCATAGTTGAGAGCGCAGTTGGAGCCATAGAGGAGGCAGATGGAGGCGATGCTGCCGGCCACGGGCTCCATGGCAAGGTAGCCAGCGGCATACACGGCCGCCACTGCCATTGTTTCACCGGATCAGGCAAGCGTCATGAGTCTGCCAAACGTCACCAAGGCAAGCGCGCACCCACGCATGGCACACGGGCTGAGTGGCAAAGAGGCGCACCAATGGATCCCAAGGAGATGCGGAAGTTGTCAAGTCCAATCTGGGCAGCAAACTCGGCAATGGGGGTGGGGACCTGCGCGCAGGTCCATGCGCCGTGAGTGGCCCATGCCGAGTGCAGTCAAAAGTAGAAGCAACGGCAAAGTATTCCTGGGAGAGCAGCTGGACCGGGGTGGCGCCTTGAACCAGGAACGTACGCTTGAGATCCAGAGGGGGCTGACCATGGCGATACCGCTCCAGAGCAGGAGGGGCACACCCACGACGTGGAGAGCAAAGTTCCACTTTTGGTGGTGATACTAAACCAGCACCCGGTACAAGCGCGCACAGGAAGCAGGGGCAAGGCACGTTCAACGAGCCAACACAGAGCATTTCCCGTTCAAACAAGTGACCTGCTGCCCTTTTCCAATGACCTGCGTGCACGCTTGCGCCACAGCTCTCGAGCTTGCATCGGTGGCACGGGCGACACCAACCTGGGCGTAAAATCCCAGTTGATTTTCCACATTGAAAAGATCGGCCAAGCCCATGGTGTCGGTTGATCCCTGCCTATCAAGCATCAGGAATCGATGACTGGTGTGAGTCAAGACGGGGCAATTCCATCCTCCCGTGCGCTGCCGTTTCGCTCACGATTTCGCCTTTTTGCTCCAGAAACAAAAACATCCAAACCAACAAAGAGAGAGAGAGAAAGAGAGAGAAGAGAGAAGAGAGAAATGAGAAATGAATGAGAGAGAGAAAAGATCACTGGGAGAAGAGAAAAGAGAGTTTGAGAGTTTTTTGAGAGAGAGAGAGATAGATATGAGAAAGAGAAAGGTATACAAAGGAAAAGCACAACAGAGAGAGAGAGAGAGACAGAGAGACAGAGAGAGAGAGAAAAGTGATAACAAAGTGAGAGTGAGAGAGAGAGCGCGTTTTCTTCCTCTGACAGGGACTTTCAAGGGTCATGAGGTGGGGGCAATTGGTGCGACCATGTCTGTCAACTTGGGTTCCTTGGGCAGAACACTCATGGGAGTAGTCTGTGCGCCGAAGATCGAACAAAAGGCACACTTGTGCTGAGATTTTCCATGTCAATTGCCAAGCTAAAAAACAGGAGAATAGGGGAGAGTAGATGAAACGGAATCGAGGCATTTGGCTCATGGCTTGGTCGAGGCCGGTGAGCGATGCATGTTGGCTTCAATGTCTGCAATGGTCTGGACGCGCGGTCGCCGGTCCGCCGGATTCAAGTATCCAACACATCATGGTATGAGGTTCAAGCCAAGCCGAGTCCGTGGGGGACCAACCAACATTGTACATGCGCGCACCTTGTAGCAGTTCTTGGTGAGGTCCTGCAGGCCTTCGGTAGCCCCACCAATGACCACGTTATCTTCGATGCGGATGCCGATGCCGCGGTATCTACTTGACAGAAAGTTGCCATGCACAACATTTGCGATGAATAAGAGCCGTTTTCATTGCACCGCTTTTGCACAGCCGTGCACGTACGCTTTGGGAAAGGCGTCGCTATTGGGGACATAAATGCCTGGCATGAAGGGCAGGGGTTAGTCCGTCATGAGAATGATGCACCTTGTATGCGACTGTAATTCATGCTCATCACCCTTCACATCTTCCCCACATTTCCACAGGCATGCCGCCACAAGCGTGCGCAGGACGAACCGGGTTCAACCGTAACCACGCTGTTGGGGCTGAGGGGTTCAACGGGCGAGCCAGGGTCATGCACGTCCAGGCCAAGGTGGTGACCGATGGAATGCGGCATGAGCGAGCGTGCATCAGAAGCTGTAGCACGAGAAGAGAGCAGACCGAGGCGCTTGCCCTCCTCAACCACCATGCGTGCGGACTGCTGGTGCAGCTGCATCAGATTGCGCGCTTCGCCCCACATCAAGAGTTCGAGGCAGCGCGTCTGCACGCGCAGGACTGCGTCATACAGCTCGGCCTGCGCATCGGAAAAGCGTCCACTAATGGGGACGGTGCGGGTTATGTCAGCGTTGTAGCCGGCCCGCTCGGCACCGGCGTCCACCAGCAGCAGATCACCGGCGCGCAGCGGTGCGTCGTTGGTGACGTAGTGGAGGGTTAGGGCGTGCTCGCCCGCGGCCACAACGGGTGGGTAAGCATGGCCCTGACACCCGAGGCGTCGATAGGCGAATTCAAGAGACGCGTCGACTTCCCATTCCGAGCTCAACTCGGCCAGGCGTGCAAAGGTCTGGTTCATGGCCAACGCAGAGGCGCGGCCCGCAGCAGCCAGATGTACAATTTCGCGAGGCGATTTGACGGATCGTAGCCGGGCGAGGTAAGGCGCCACCTCCTGAATGGGCTGATTGGGACATTGTGACCGCAGCTGCGTCAGGAGGCCAGCACAGGCCGTCGGTGTCGCATCGCCCATGTGCACATAAATGCCACTACAATCCGTCAAGTGTGGTGCCACCGTCTCCAGCAGCACGGGTAGTTCTGCAATGGCAACATTTTGCAATGGTGGTTGAGGGTCAGAGCTGGCCGAGCGCGGGACGAGACAGCGCCTCAAAGCAGATTCGCACCGGCCACGACGGCTTGGTCGACATGCATCAGGGCCGGAGCTGCATCGGGCCCAATGCGATGGCCATCCCAGAGCTCTCGGTGTGGGTCCTTGCGCAGCACGCCCAAAGCAGTGTGAATCACTCGGCGCGCAGCGTCCGTGCGCAGAATAAAGAGACCATCGGGCTCGGGCAAAGGGGCCAGGTATGCCAGGTTGCTGTTCTGCGAGTGGGTGAAGCGGGAAACAGGGTTTGTCAATGCCTGCCTGGGGCAGGGTGGACTTGCTGCAATTGGTGCACGAGTACAGATGTGAGGCATTGCTGATGAATGGTGGGCACCGACCTGGCGAAAGCGATAGGGGATGTCGTGGCTGGCATATCGGAGCGTGTTGGCTGCCACGAGCACCAGCGAGTTGGGTGGCAAGATGTTGGCCAGCGCAGATCGCCGAGCATGATATTCTTCGGCAGGAAACGGCTTTGTGGCAATCTTGTTGGCCTCGGCTGCAAATCAAGAGGCCAGCCCTGTCGTGAGTTGATTGGCATGGGCTGCACGGGACTGGGATTGATATGGGCAACAAGGGACAAGGGGCAGGAAAGCTGTGGGACTCGAGACTGACCATGGGCTGTGTGGATGGCCTGAATGCTCATGCTGCGAGAGACCGGGCAACGAGGATCCCATACTGTCCTAGCACTGACACACCTACTTTGCATCGAGCATGCTGTTGATATCGCAGCCTGCCATATCGACGCCTCGGCTGCCCGCAGCCGCGCCGCACCGAGTCGCACCGCCGCCATTTCCATCAAAATTCACCAAAAAATAAAAAATAAAAAAAAATTCAAAAGAGAGAGAAATTCATCCGACGACAATGTCAGCAATATATATCAGACGGTTTTTTTCTGCCTGTGTGTTGCGTCACTGCACTAGTTTCGGTTATTGTCACTGCATTCATATACTGTGATTGCCATGATGTAAGCTGTGTGGAGCTTACTCTCAGCGCCATATTGCTATACACGTGGGAACAGCGTCAAGGGCTAAGTAACGTTGAGTCTCCATACCCTGCATGTGATCACACACACCAACGGCATCGATGGCAGCGCCAGCCATCAACAAGACCTCGGTGCAGACGAGCGAGCCCAGTGCCTGGTGCCCGGTGCTCGGTGCCAGATGCCAGGTTTGTGGCCATGCCATGTCCGTGTCCTCCCAACACCTTATGCTCCTGCCCTCACACACATGAACCTACACTGCCAAAGCACAACGCCCATCATCACACATCGTGTTGTTTTTGTTGTGTGTGTGTGTCTCTGTCTGTCTATCTGTCTCTCTGTCTCTCTATCTCTGTCTTTGTCTCTCTCTCTCTCTATCTCTGTCTCTGACTCTCTCAAACTCGCTTAAACTCCCTCTTACCCTCTCGAACTCTCTCAAAATCTCTCTGTCTCTGTCTCTCTGTCTCTCTGTCTCTCTGTCTCTGTCTCTCTGTCTCTCTGTCTCTCTGTCGTATTTCTCTCTCTCAACTTGTTGGACGTGCAGCTGGTCGTCGCTTCTTGCTGAATTTGCTGCTTCTTGGCTGCTCGGCTGTTGAGCTTTCTTGGCTTTGCTACTTCTGCCGTGGTAGTCACGGCGACGTTGCGTCGGTGATTGATTGAGTGTACGGCTGCTCTTGCGTTCATTGAGTGTACGCGACGCTCGAATTGTTGGTGACACGCCTCGTGCTTGCCATACGTGGCCTTGACGGCGGTGACTTGTTCACCATGGCCTACGACGGTGCGTGCCGCTGACCTGCTCCCTGCCCCACCAGGCGTGCACCCCAGTGTGGCCCACTTACCCTCCGCTGCTTATGTCGTGTGCTGTGGGGTGCTTACCATGATGGCCTCGGTCTTTTTCATCTTCATTGGACGCAGATGACGATGACGTGCGGAGCATCATGAGCTCCGTCTCACATCTCAGTACGACCTCCGACTACGATGAGGGTGGTCTGGACCTTGAGACCCCGCTTCTGCAAGCCATCTCCGACATTGAGGCCAAGCGGTACGCATCTGCCCCACCCCACCGACGGACCTTTTGACACACCCGTTCTGCCTTGTCTTGGACCTGCTTGTCGACTTGGTCCTCTCTTCCCCATTTCTAAACTCGCGTCCCTTGCCCACATTCTAGGAGCGAGGCTCGCGCCCGAGGCTTGGAGAGCCTGGCCGACCTCCTGTCTCGCTATGTCTATCCGGAAGAAGTTCTCTCATCGCGGTGCGTCCCCAAGCGTCACCGTCAAGCTGGCTTCTGAATCGGCCCACGCCTGTCATGCTTTAGTATCAAAACAAAACTAACACGTAAAATAAAACACATCTCACTCCACGCTGCCCCACAGACTGGGTGACCTGATGGACGTGCTGCGCAAGGCCGCCAAGTCAGCAGATCACATGGCCAAAACCTTTCACATCATTACCCTGCTGCACCTGCAGGTAGGCCCTGCTGCAAAGTGACAACACGACAAAGACTCTTTCAGGCTTCTTTTCCAACCAAACCCTTCCGACCGAGCCTTCCCTTTACCTGCTGGAAGTCTCTTGCAGTGGCATCAATCAACGCACGCCCATCTGTTGCTCAGCCCGTAGTTGAAGACATGGAAGCCTACTATGAGCAGCTGCGCAACCGCTGTGAAGACTCCATGTTGGATCCGTCTTTGGATACCGAGCCCCGTAGCCAGGTGCGCTCGCCCCGTGTCTCTTCAACATGGGCACATGAGCCTGATTCAAACGCAGCGCCACACTCGTGTCTTCTCAAGCCGGATGCCACAGAAGGGGTTCAAACGCTGAACTGATTGTTTGGGGCACCACCCGTTGTATAGATGGCCGTGACGCTTGCGATTATGTCCTTTGTCAGCGAGTTACATGGCGATGACATTGAGGAGCAGATGGAGGTGGGTTCGCCACCCCTTTGAGCCGGTTGCCTGCGTTCCATCCGGGCACAGTGTCAGCTGTCCCCCTCTTACATGCCATATGCTCGCTCCCCAGCTCCTGAGTGACGTCTTTACCGACGATGATCAAGAGGCCAGCTTGATTGCCATTTGCATCGAGGCCTGGTCTCTCTTGCTCATCAAGCTATCCTCACATGATGCCTGCAAGGTGGCACACAAGTACGTAACCCTGTTTCTGTGGGCCAGGCTTGGTCCAGGGTGGTTTGTTGGTGACTCGCTGCCCGCGGGAAGACTCTTTGACTCACGCCCCCGCTGCACACGCAGGCTGTCGCACTTTTTCCATCGCATCATTGGCGAGACGGGCACAGACCGCAACGTCCTATTTGCGGCTGCCCGGGCGCTCGTTCTTCTCAATGATGTGCGTTGACGGGGGTGGGCACCTTGTTTCGATGCCTTTGATCAAGCTGCTTGACCGGCCCTCATGTGCAACGGGCTTGGAATGCTCCTGTAGGCTCAACTGGAGGCCCATGAAGTTCCGGCCGAGGGCATGGACGACGTCGCCCGCGTGTTCCAGGCCTATGCCAAGGAGAGCAACAAGGGCAAGGTACGTATTTCGGCGCTCTTTCGCCGTTCTAGCTTGTTTACAAGGGCCCTTCATTCCCGTCCTCACTTGCCATTGGTGGGTTGGTGGTTGTGCCCCAATAGTCGAAAAAGGACCTCAAGGAGCAGCGACTCAAGTTTCGCCAGCTGCTCGAGGGCATTGAAACGGGGCGTTGCCCGAGCACACGCCTTGCACTGGGTCACTCGGAGACAGTGGTTCTCGACTCGTGGTCCGAGTACATGATCCTCGACAACGTCCGGGCTGTCCTGCGTGGCGGCATGCAACACCATTTGCGCCACAATCAAGTGGTGCGGGATCTTTTGGGATTGGGCCCCGTGCAGCTTGTGCCGCAGGCTCTGAGTCGCGAAGATAAGGCCAACCTCAAGGCAATACGTGAGGACAACCGTCTGAACCGTCAGGCAGATCGACGGGCTGCACGGTCCGATAAATGGGACGACGGCTTTTAAATTTTTTTGTCTTCCTTTGCCTGTCATGACCCCAAGTTTCCGGTCCTGTTGTTGTTGTTGTTGTTGTTGTTGTTGTTGTTGTTGTTGTGTGTTGTGTGTGTGTATGTGGTGTGTGTTTCCCACGACTTTGGTTTCTTGCTGTTGCTTCTGGATGGTGCATCCAACCAGGCTTGAGTTGAATAAAGTCAAGTCGATCCTTGGCAGAGCCAGGGGGTTGTGTTGAACTTCAAATTGCATGGTTTCACCTGGCGATGAATTGGTACAACGATCCTCCTTTTCCACTTCCAGGGCCGTTCTACTCGTGGAAACAGTCAACTGGTGTAGGGCTATTTTTGGGCGGGCGCAACATGACTTGCTGAAGTTTCATCTTAACCAGTGTTGCCGTGGCGCCAATTGTCGACAAAATTGCCGACATGGATCCACTTGTTGGCTGCGTATCTACATCCATGGGCACAAAAAGTGCACGTGAGATCAAGTTCAGTCAGCGTGCCAACGCCGGCGAGGCGCGCATGCCGACTCACTTGGTGCCTTGTTTCACGGGGCGAGCCTCGTGGTCGGTGCGCTCTTCAGGCTCAAGGTCATTGGTGACCGAGTACCAAAGAACAGCTTTGCCCTTTCTGCGACAGCATTGGATGAAGAGAAGCAGGGGCAGGTAAAACCATCAGTGCCAATTTGCGTTGGGCTAGGTGGGTGAGGGGCGTGGGCGAAGCGAGGTGTCGCGGGGCGGACTTGGGCTTGACAGCAAGGCCGAGGCGCGTAAAAGAGGTTTCGCCGCCAGCCGGCACATCGTTGAGGTAGATGAACAAGGTGAGCACGCGCGGCCCGCACGGCATGTCATACTAAACGAACAGCGTAGTGAGTCGCCCATGGCGCGGTCAGGAGTTCAAGGGCCAGTGCGCGTCAGCCGCGGTACCTGTTCATCGATGAGATCGTTGTGAACTCGGTAATACTGGTTGTTGTTGTAGCGCAGCACTTGAAAGTGTTCTTGGTTGACGACGGGCAGGCCCACGAGCTTGCCAATGCGCTCCTCCAGCTGACGCACGATGGTGGCGGCCGTTGCATTGACTGCCATCTCATCATCCATCAACCCTGCACGTTGACCGCGAAGGGGCCACAGATGAGCACGCCGCAAGATGACATGTGTTTACGAGCCAAAACAGGGCATCGGGCCAGTTTCTGCGCAAGTGGCCTCATACAAGCGGTGGAGCTGGTGCGGTACGAGGTCACGGAGCGTTCCAGACCCCCCGTTGATTGGGCGAAAGAGGGCTCAGCCAAGACTGCAAGGATTTGGTTGTGGTCAAATGAGAACTCATTCGTGGTGGCGACGGCGCGGCTGACGGCTAGAGAGGGCAGCCTGCGAGGCGGTTGGGGCAGGCACAAACCGAGAAGGGCGTCGATTTCGGCCTGGGTAACAAAGTCATCAAACTCGAGCACGAGGGGGTCTTGCACGAGGACCCGGGCATTGTTTTGTGAGACGACATCCTCTGCGGTGACGATAGCTGCAAACAGCAGCAAAAAACAAAACAAACAAAAAAAAAAAAAAAAAAAAAGCCGACTCAAGTGAGTCGAGTTGGCTTGGGTCCCAAGGGGGGAGGGAGGCGAAGATGGCGGAAGATTCGAACCAAAATCACCCTTGGTCCAGCCAGCCTCGACGCCACGGCGCATGTACTGATTGAGATTCTGAGTTTTGGTGTTTGAGGCCAGCTTTTGGGCGGGCTGACCACAATCAAGAAGCACGGGTCAGTTTGGCTCGCATCACCGGGCGCGGCGTGTCGCGTTATGCGGGTGCCAGCGCTGACCTGGGGAGCCGCGGCGTCGGGCGCCGGGACGTGAAGCTTGGCATGGTGGATCACCGTCTTCTTGATGGGCGCGTCATCAACGTAGGTCGGGCTGGGGCGGAGAAAGACTAAGAGAAGGGACAGCCCCAGCAGCACTGTAGCGCCGTGCTCCAGCACGGCGCGAGAGCTCATGGTGGCCACTCGCAACAACTTTGGCCAACTGTCGAGATACCGTCAAGCCGGATACCAACGGTCTCTGCAGGCGGCGAAGAATGTAAATGTGAATGTGTGAATGCGAATGCGAGTGCGAGGGCGCTGATGAGGGACGTGCCCGAGCAAATTCCAAAAAGTGGAGGAGGGATCGAGCGGCGAGGCGCCGACGCGACGAGCGCCACTGCGATCACACACACACACACGCACACACACACACACCTGCGAAAACAGAGAGAGAGAGAAAATTCGCAAAAGAGAGAGAGAGAGAGAGACTGATGCAACTGGTGGTGTCTTGTCAGACAAAACCAGGGCGGCAGGTAAAGTATAATCTACCTCTATAAAATCAAATTGACAACGGTGAGGCCGTTGTGTCGTGCTGACAATTCAGCGTCGCCAGCGCCATAACGGTCAAGTTTTGGCGCGCAACGGCTAGTTGGCGCCGAATTGACAGGCTGTTTCTGTATTACTTTATCCTTAAAAATACCTTGAAGTCTTCTATTCCCACCTTTTGGCACGAGGTTACGTTTGTCCCTTTGATCCAGCGTTGCGCATGAGCTGTGGGCTTCTGAAAATGTCAGACGTTCTGGTGCGTCGGGTGTGGAGGCTTCAAGGCACAAGCAACATTCAGGCATCACTCGGGTGTGGGCGCCAGCTGAAAGGCTTACTTCGAGGGGGCCGAGACGTCTGTCTCTTGGAAGCAAACGCACGAACGCACAAACAA